GTGTGGTATCTGCTGGACCTTGTGTCCATGGTGAAATGTTTGTTTCAGCTGTGTAATTGGGAAATGGCAACAACTATTTGCTGTTTCATAGTACCTTCTATAAAAAGATTAAAATTTGATCTTAAATTAATAGGCTATGTAGTGAACTATGTTAGATGTGGAATTATTAGTGCTGGAACTGTGCACAATATGTGTTCTGTTTTTTTTCAAGGCAAGAAGCAGTGGTGAAAGCTTGTCAATCAGCGTAGATAGCATTGTTCCTGCAGGACAACTATTGATTTATTTTTGGCTCTTTACATTCCAGTGCTTGTGATTATGTAGTACTACTTTGAGACTGCTCTTCTGTAGGATACACGTTACAGATTCGTAACAGGAATCACTTGCTTAGCTCTGATAAAAGCTGTTTGTTGTGGGTGATTTAATAATACACTTTATTTCACTCTTTCTGCCACTCACAGCAAGTGAGATGCCCAGGGCGCTCTGTCTGCTGCCTTTGCAGGGGGTACAGGACGTGCTGTGTCTCCTCAGGCCCTGTTTGTGGCACTGCTGCTCTCACCCCTCGCAGCGCTTCAGCAGGAGGAGCTGCTGCTTCTGCTTGTCCTCAGTCTCTGCCCCTTTGGGGCACACCGTGTCTGAACCTGAGCAGGTCTCCTGGCCTGAGGCATTGGCTTTATAAAAGTTGCTGCTTTACAGAAATGCACTTCCACATAACCAAGTGCATTGGTTAACAGATGAGCTCCCCTTTCTGTTCCATCATCTCCATTCCCTGGCTCAGAAGTGTTGATTCCCTGGTGTGCTAACACTCAAAGGAGCTGGAAGAGTGGGAGCACCAGCCTCTGGCACTCAGCTTTTGTGCTGCCCAAACACTCTACCTCCAGTGCAGTCACAAGACTTCTGCTGACTCTGAGAGTCAGATAACCAGATGTTCTTACTGTGAGGAGGGATTATGCTGTTTTGTTTTGTCAGTTAGTATTAAATAAGCTATTCAAGCTTTAATGATCATTTTATTGACTTAAGAAAACACATGGAAATTGTGGAATCTCTCCACCTGGTGTTCAAGTGTTAAAATCGTATGCTTAGTTGAAAACAAAAAGGAATATCCTCCCTTCTCCCTCGGTCAAAGCAGGAATTGGACTGACCTCTCTCTCTCTGTGCATGGCTTTTATTCAGAAGCAGTTCACAGACAATTTTTAGAGTTGCAGTGGTGTGAAGGAGGATTGCTGCCAGATAATGTGAAGTGCAAAATATTTGTACTGTCTTTTAGCAACTACGTTTGCTCAGTAGTGTTAACATTGCCCTTCTTTTGCACGTGTACTTTAAATAGGAGGAACAGTATCAACAATGTAATAGTTTATCAACACATTTTAATATTTGTTAATGTTGTGTCTTCATTTTGGAGATCACTTATGATTTTAGATGTTATGTAGGTAACTCCCTGATTTTAAAAGTGTAAAAGTGAAAGGTAAACTATCTGGCAGCAAGCTGAATGGATTTACTCTGATAAGAACCATCTGTAAAACACAATGTTTGAGTAAATACCATTCCAAGGGCAACTTTGCTTTGTAGTACCTCCTTCTCCTGTCTTTTAATTCTCCCTTCCCCACATTCCATGATGGTTTGTCTGTAAATGGTTCTTTAAAGTAAAGGGATGGGGGAAAAACAAAAGGAAAAGATTCCAAACCCTGACCCACACTAGAACAAGAGTAAAAGGAAAAAAAAGGATATATATCTATATGTGTGTGTGTGTGTGTGTTGTATTTGGGTAATGCTACGGTGGTTTTTTGGTGTTTTTTTTGGTGGGTTTTTTTTTTTGGTGGGGTTTTTTGTTTTGGTTGGGTTTTTTTGTGTTTTTTTTTTAGGCTGTGTCCTCTTATCTCATCCAGCTTTACTGGATTTACCACTTTGTGTGTTACTGACTGTTCTGGAAATCTCTTGCTGTATGGATTTCCATATGTATGATAAGCCTGTATTAGCTTTAATTACATTAGATTTAAACCAACCTGCGTTCTGTTTTCTCACAGAAATAAATGAGCAATTCTTTGCCATAAGTGGAATTCTCATCTGGCTCATCCTTGTCTCTGAAGATAATTTTATTATATTTTCCTTATTGAAAATGTGTGATTCAGTTTCCATGACTCCCATCCTCCTGTCAGGCTGGCTGTTCTTTGAGCCACTTTTTGTGAGTCCCCATTTCCTTCTGAGCTTTTCACACTCACTCCTGCTCCCACAGCAGGTTCCCCTCAGTGTAGAGAGCGTGTCTGTACCTAAGAGCCAGGGCAGGCTCACTGCTGGCTGTGCTGTGACCAGCTGCGCTGACACCTGGCCTGTAACCCGGCTGGAGTTCTGCAACTCACACACAGGCAGTTCTGTTTCTTCCTTATAAACAGCTCTGCTTTTTACTTTGTATCACTGTAGGGGCTGAAAGTATTTTGGCTCCTCTAGATCCTTGTATCTCTTTTATTGGGATACCAATATTGGCGGATTTGCTTTGGAATAGCAAAACCTTTTTAGCTTTCCAGCTTTAAAAAATAATATGTTTAGGGGTTTTATTCAAGATTGCTTTCTATTTGAAAATTTTCTATTCTTTAATAATGCATTTGACTGCTCAATATTTATCTTTTTAAAAAGTGTAGATATAAAACACTTTTTCAACATTCGTTTTGGAGTTGATTGCAAAAGCAAACATCTGGTTTTCATCCAGCTTGGTTTCTGTTTAACCTCCTTGCTCTGGTCAAGTCAAAATCTTCAGTTATTATCTTATACCATCTTTCTAACTGTGAGTCATCTCTTCTTTAGTATTCCCCCTGCAGTGCTTTCCTATTAGTCATGCTACAGGCTGTCCTTTCCTTATTATGTAATATATAAGTTCATGATATTTATTTAGTAAGTGAATAACTACATGTTCTATATCTTCTATATCTCTAATTTTCTCCCTGTTTCTATGACTTGTCCAGATACAGATGGGACAACTTCAAAATCTTCCCTTATTGCTTTGTAATGCCCAGTGTAGATGAACAGATGATGGTCAGACAATGTTATGTGAGACCAAAAGGTTTGTTACATGTTTTTCTTTAAAAATGCTAAAGGTTCACACGTGAGCGCGTAAGGTTTATGTGCAGGTACATTCTTACTGTTCTTCTCTCCCTTTTGCTCTAGTCTCACTGCATATTCTCTTTTTACACTGTACATTGTTTAGGATATAGTTCAGTTTTTAGTCTTTCTGTAAAGCTTAAGCCAAATATCTGACCATAATTGAAGCCACAAATCATAGATACATTCCTAAACTATACAGCAGGGCTTCCCATCATTTATATTTAGAAATAATGTTCAGTTTAATATATTCAATAATCATGTTCTTTCCCACTTGTGACCACTAATATTGAAAGCACATCCCTAGCAATGCTTAGGTAGTTACAGCTGAACCAGCTCCACCTACAAAATGGGCTTTAGGAGAAAGCTTAGTGAAAAAAAATTGTAAAAGAAAATTGTAAAGTCTGAACAGATCTGCTGTGCCACAGCCTTGAAATGTTTGTATTTGAACTCTCAGTGTTTGTGTGATGCAAGAAAATAATATCCTTGTTTTCAGGACTTGCTATTCCCGGTCTTAATGCTTTAGCCAGAAGAATATCCTTCCTGTACTGCAGAACAGGAAATAAGCTGGTTCCTTTCAAATTCTGGAAACAATGAACTTTGTCCTTAGCTTAATTTTTTAGAAATTACATTCATTTTGATGTTTTGGACAATGCATTAGCTTGTTTTGCTTCCTTGTGAAATACAATAGGAACAGCATACCATAATCATACACCCATAATAAGCTCTCAAGTCAGAATTTCAGCATGTAAATATTACATCTTTAATACACTTTGTCTCTTAATTGTCCCTTGTTCAGAAGATGAAGTTTCACTTTGGGGTATTAGCTATATGTGTCAAAGAGATAATGAAGCACTATGATAAATTGATACAGAAACAAGGGGAAGGGAGGAGTAGAAGAAAGAAACAACTTTTTTTTTTTCCCCTTGTTTTCCCCCCTGGCAACAAAAAGCCATAATCTTTAAAAATATAAAACTTTTATGTCTACGTCTTCCCCCAGGTTTTGTGGTTTCTGGTGTAGTATTTAATATATGTCACACTGGTTGACACACAGGAATGTGTGGGAAACATTGTATTAAATGTCATGAAATGTAAGAAGTTACCTCTGAAGTTTTATAAGCTGTTTTTCCACATTTGAGAGTATTGGATTTATTCTGTCCTTTAAATAATTATGATAACACATATCTCAATCAAAAAAACCAACATCTTCTGATGTTCAGAGAGAGAATAAGGTGTGTTCCTGATTGTAACACTTTTTTGTTGTTTTTAAATAACGTAGATAAAATTCTGCTTTTCTTCAGTTTCTTGTGTTTCAGCAAGGCTTAGTTAAACCTTGCTGAAAATCAGTCTTTATATTAAAAAAAAATTATAAAGTCTTTTAATGTAAAGACTGATTAAGAAATAGGTCTTTATATTTAAAAAAAAAAAAAACCTTAAGAAGAAACAATCAGCAAGACACACATAAAGCTTTTCTTCTGAAATGCTCTGCACAGTTCATTTCTATTTCAGCACAGTGAAGTCATGTAAGATTGGCTCAGGACATGCAGCAAGGCTCTGTAATCATTACGGGCTCCAGTTTATGCTTTAAACTCTTTCTAGCTCACTGTTTTCTTGATGTAAGCTCAACACTCCTCATGAGGCCTGGCTGATAGGAAAAGTGGATGCACATGGGAAATACAGTCCTGGCATCAGATGAGACTGAGCAAAGTCCAGTGAAAGTGGGGATGGAAGTAATCCCTGGGAACTGTTAACAGCAGCTGTTCCTAGGATGGCTCTTGGGGGTCACTGTCGGCTCTGAACACACAGCAGAAAGTATTTCCAAGGTTGCAGTGCTTGCTATCGTTGGAATGGGGGTTTTGTGCTTTATGAGGATCCGTGCTCACACAGGAACCAATGTTTTCTTTTGTCAGTACTTCAGCTGAGGCTGCAGCAGAGACGGACACGAGAGCAGCTGGTGGACCAGGGCATCATGCCACGTAAGACTTATGCCTAGTAATTTGTATTTCTGTAGTGTTAATTATGAATTGAATATGTAAAATGATGAAGATGAGCATTTCTGTGAGATCATTAAAAAGATGATCAGCATTTGAAAAGACTTGTGGGATCCTTTTGATAACCAAGTGAGCGTGTAGTGAATTCACTGTGCTTACACCATGCTTCAGTTCAGCCATTGTGATGAAAATGCAAGGATTTGTAGACATAGTCTGATTCTGCTTTTATTTTCTCTATTTAAATAATTACTACTAGTTTACTAAATAAACTGAATTACTTAAATAAGTTGACATTAATAATAAAAGCAGCAGTTTTTAAAGAGTAGAATGACAAAGGTTGCCAAACAAGTGAGGAGTGCACAGAAAACGTGGAGAATCTCTAAGTGAATAGCACTGAGATGGAGCACTCTGCAATTTATGTTATTGCTAGGGGTTTTTTTACTCTTTTTGGTTATTTAGAAGCTGGACATCATTCTAAGATGAACATTTAAGGCCTCTGCATTTTTCCGTTTCATTTTTGAATCAGCACATAGTTCTTAAGGGAAGGTCCAGTTCTCTCTAATAACAGGAAGTATGAGGTATGGACAGCCAGAATATTCAGTGGAATAAATTAAATTAAATAGGTATTTTGGCATTCTAAACCTTACCTCACAAAATTTCCACTGTGGGACAGTTTTGATAAGTAAACAAACACCTTTGTAGATAGTGAAAAAGTTAACCATTACATGGTAATAATCTGTTAAAATCAAATATTCCAGGTATTCTATATAGGAGTATTGCTCATCTCTGCTAAATATGGTGTATACAACTAGCACAAATCAATTGTAATCCTGCAAACACAACTCTGAGGTGGTGTTAAACACCCATACACACATTCTGGTTAGCATATTTCTTTCAAAAATGACTTCCTGTCCATTTAACTCTTACTCTCCCTTCACAGCTTTGAAAAGTCCAGCTGCATTCCATGAGCAGATAAAGAGCCTGGAGCGAGCCAGGGTAAACCACTTTGTGTAAACTTGTGATTAACATCTGGAAATGGAGAGTCATTTTTGTGATACTGAATTCTCTGAGTACATGGAAAAATTCTTACCATTACAGTAATAATGTGTGCTTTTATTTTGGGAGAATTCATTAAAATAAAATATCAAATCTGAGAGGAACTTCTTGAGCCTTCACAGATCAGTGGGGATTAAACTTATGGCGGGGGTTAAAACATATGGGGGGAGGTAACCTCCAGTTAAGGATTGGATACTTGGGGAAATTATGCTTGTGCAGTTTTTTCTGTAGCAAATCTATTCTATTGTGATTATGTGGTGGTGTGGGATCCAATTCCCATCTTGTTTGGAGAAGTTGGAAATCCATCAGCCCTGTTTAACTGCTAGGAAAACAGAATAAAGCAAGAAAAACCCCTCTACTGCCTGTGTTCTGACAGTGCTACCCCCCAGTGTGAATGAAACTGCAACTATTCATTGATTGGATGTGGGTGATTTGTCAAACTGCTTTGAGTTTTTAAGTGAACAGTAGCTAATGGTGTTTCCTCCTTTCTTTTTAAGACTGAGAATTTCTTGAAGCACAAGATCCGGAGCAGGCCGGACCGCTCGGAGCTGGTCAGAATGCACATCCTGGAAGGTACGTGCCAGCTCTGCTCAGAGCTGCTCACAGCAGGGACTTGTGCTCTCAGTCATCTCCCTGAATGACACTTGGATGGGAATTGTTTCTAAAGGTTTATCTGCTCTATTTCTCTACTTCTGCAGTGTCTGTGGTAGTCTGTATTCTAAATCTGTATATTACCAGACAATCTGTGGCAGTGAAGGTATTCTCAGCAGTGTATTTGTTTGCTATTGCATATTGTTCTTGACTTGTAATGGTAATTATAGCATAGGGTCTGTACATGGAGTGTTTCTATTGCTTCAGTTTCTACTCATGCCCTAAAATGACCTGACAGCCTTGTACTCTCCCCTGGCCCTAAAGAACCTTTAACAAATGTGACTGTTATCCTGTCACCTGTTATACTTGGCTGCTTTTGATATAAGTGGAATGGTTATTGCAAAGACAAGACAATGTTGTTTGTCATGAAATTGGGGAACAATTGGAACAATATTTGAATCAATATATCCTTTTAGAGACCTTTGCAGAGCCTTCACTACAGGCTACTCAGATGAAACTGAAGAGAGCTCGGTTGGCAGATGATCTGAATGAGAAGATTGCTCAGAGACCTGGCCCTATGGAACTGGTAGAGAAAAATATTCTTCCTGTAGACTCCAGTGTTAAAGAAGCCATTATAGGCAAGTAGAAGTCCCACAGCTTCTGTTTGTGATCTGCGTGGCATTGTGGAAGATAACATATGCTAAGTTTCTTACTACTTACTCTTTCAGCTTCTGAGACCTAAACTTTGTTATCATTTAAATAAAGTAATCCCATTTTTACATGAAACTTTGAAAATACATTTTTGAAAATAAAAATCACTACAAAGTAATCAAACATCTGTAGCCATTGCTCAGCCTGTCGTAGGTGTCTGTGTGCACTCCACATCTGTTGAACGTACCTTTTAAACTCTTACTAAAACCACTTCTGCTCCACTCTTGGTTTTATTGATTCCTTGAATATCATTTAATATGGCTCTCATATTAAAAAAACAATAAATACTTAGGTACCATATGTTTAGACTGCTGAAAACTGATCATTTTCCAGCAATTAGCTGATTCTGCCATGAATGTCTAAATTCAATTTGTGCAATTTAAAAAAAACATTGTTTCTTTTTCTGTAAACATTTTAGCAGTTGGACAAGAGAATTACCCTCAAGCTTTGGATGATTTTTCATTTGATGAAGACAGCAGTGATGCTTTATCACCAGATCAACCAGCCAGCCAGGAATCCCAGGGTTCAGCAGCTTCCCCTGGTGAGCCAAAAACAAGTGACTCACCCTCACCTATAACCCCAAATGCTGCTACATCAACACAGGTACAGTTTTTAAATGTTAAGATCTTCACAGTATGGTTTTTGGTCTGGCACTGTAGAAGTGGGGCATGGTTTCACATGGAATGAATACATCTGCTGCTACAAAGGGGTATCTGGGACTCTCTTTTCTGCTTGGGAGTGTATAGAGTAGAACCCTGGCTTAGCTGGTGGCAGTGATGAAATTCCCATAGGCTGCAGTGAAGCCATAAATTCCCTGAAATTCATTATGACCCACAGAAGATCTGCAGCTTTCCCAGAAGTTGTTTAAAAGGTCATGGCCATGGTTTACTCCAGCTGTTATTGATTACTTAATGTCTGTCTTCCTTCTGGGCAAGGTCTTGAACTCATTTAGAATTAAACTTAGCTGAAACAACAGTTGACGTCAGTTCCATTATCTTCAGAAAGTCCATAAAAAAAGGTTTCCCACATAATTTAAATATTCTTTCCTATAGTTTTAAAATACTGCCTAAGGAATTTACTATTTAGGAAATCAAAATAACAGTTTTGTTGATTTTTCTGAGGTTTTTAGTATTTTCTCAAGGTACTTAAAGGAAAGTAACTGTGCCGTGGCAGTTAAAATGCTACCTGTATAGCAGAGCATTGAAATGTGGATTTGCTCTTTACTGCAGAAAGTAATGCAGAAGGCAACTGTGAAATAAAGTAAAAAAGAGATAGCTCTTGTTAATGCTCCAAAGACTATATTGTCTTTATGACCATGGACACTTGACAGCTGAGTGGTTCAGGATCTGGTATTACTCTCCTTGGTTTTCTCATTACCACAGTAGATAGAAAAAATATTGTGAAGTTTATGTGCAGAAACAATGCTGGACGCAAAGTACAGCACATCCATTTTATTTCATTGTACCCTAACATACAGATTAAGAAATGAGTTGGATTTCACATAGAGAAAACATAATTTGTGTTGAATAAATTGAAAACAAACCACATGAAATTAGATTCCTGAGTAAGGAATTAGTTTCCTAATGAAGAGTTAAATAAAAATACTCAAAGCAACACATGGCAAAAGCTTTTCAAATAGGAAGCATTAGAGAGATCTGTGGTTGCAGAAACAAAAAGTAAGGCACTTGAACTTGATTGAAAAAGTGCTTCAGATAGAACTTTAAGCCTTTGCTTATGGATTTCATGTCACATTACAGCCACTTCTGTGCACACATCTAAAATGAGAAGTTGTTCTTCTACAGAATAAAACAGATGCTCACCTTGTTGTTCCTTTTGAATTAAAAATAACAGCACAGCAGGTCTCTACAGGAGACGTGTCTGGGAATGGCTCCTTTATTCTTTTAATTTCCTCTGATAAATTTTAAATTTTATTACAACAAAAAATACAAAGAAAGTTTTGAATAAAGCGGAGTGCAGCCAGAGTTCTTTTCAAAGCTTCCTCCTCCGCACATTTCCAGCCATCAGAGGATGTAACATAATTTTGAGAACCTTCAGCTCTTGTTGACTGATGACCTAAAACTTGCTTTAACCGAGTGTACTTGCATCTGGTAAGGATTAGGCATTTTAGTCATACTCTAAACAGATCAAGTTGGGGTATTCACAATTCAGAAGATATTATATAGTTATCTTCAAAACAGCTGAAGAATTTTGCTTGATGGCACAAGAATGACTGTTTCCTTATTATATTCTCTGCAGCTTGTTGACCTGCTAGATTCTTGTTGGCATCTAGCAGAAAAGGTACAGAAATCATATTATTTGGAAAAGGGATCTGTTAAAATTGAATAATGACTAGTTTATGAAGTAATCAAGTGAAGAAGTTAAACCTGTTAAATCTAAGTTTTTGAATTTAGAAATAAATCATGTGCATGGTTCATTGCCTCATCTAACACTTGCAGGTAAAATTGGGAAGTCTGTAAAAAGCTTTGTGTGTAGGTTAGGATAATGCCTAGTGTAAGGAAAATAAATTTACTGTCTGGCAAGAGGAAAATGTTTAACACCATGATTTTCACACAATGTGAAAAGAGGTAATTTGGGGTTTTGGTGGTGCTTTTTTTTTTTTCCTGTTGTGCACACACAGAAAATAACAGACACTTTGTAAGATTTCAGATCCTTTCCAGAGCAAACACTTTGAAACCTAGAGATAAAAATAGAGACATTTGTGTCTTTAGCCTGCCACCATAAACTGACAGGATCCCAGGACAGGCATGTGCACAGTGACTAGGAGGGCATGGTAAATCTGTTCCTCTGTGTGGCTGCAGGACAGAGGGATCAAACCCACTATTCAGTTTTGCTGGGTTATGGGAAGGCAGCTGTAGTTGCCTCTTGGCAGCTGATGGTTGGGAACACAGCGGGATGTCTAAATGAAACACGAAGATAAAATGGAAATCCATTACAAATTAATTGTAAGCAAAAATCTGAGAGCCTTGTTCATGCATACTGGCACCTTGGGAACTGCTATCCTAGAAATACAAAAGAACCAGGACATAGAGTTGCAAAATGTGTATCAGGTCCTTTGTGGTACAATCTCACAGAAAAATACAGGAAAGTTACAGGAAGAAATGAAACAGAAAGAAGTACCTGTCGGGCTTTATTATAATGCAAGTCTTGGAATTAATTTGGAAGAAAAAGGATGTTTACTGATAGGAATAAAAAGAAGGGGCTTTTATAAAAGTAACATTATACTAGGTGATCTAATTGCTTTCTTAAACAATGGAAGTGCAACTGATGTCATCTGGCTGTATTTATTACTGGAATATTAAACCCTAGGAAAATGAGGATGGAGATTACCAGAAATGAGACAGAAAGAGGGAAGTCCTGGGCTGAAAGGAAGCTGGTACCAGTGCTCTGTGGGAGTTGATCTGGGACATTCTGGTTTCATGTTACTGTTAACAACCTTGACATAAGAACAGGTCACCTAACAAAAGTAGGAAGGCATAGTCAGCACACAGTTGGATTGTTATTATGCAAAAAGAACTGGTTGGTTTGGCTTTTAGGAGACAAATGCAATTCCAATAGAATGAATAGTTCTTGGAAAGAAAAATACACAATGCCCCTCTTTCCCATGACAAAGAAATGTGGAAACCTGGGGACTCTTGACTCAAGAGAAAACTGAGGAGGAAGAGAGTTGGGATGCAGTGTTCAGCAGTGGAGTCAGGGAGCTGCTGTGGACATCTTCTGTAAAACTGCAAACCTGTCAGAAGGGATGATTCCAGTAGAAGTGCTAATGCCACTGTAAGGATGCAGTGAGACCATGCGTGGAATATCCTGTACATTTTCAGTTACTTATATCCAAGAAAGACTTAATGAAAACTGTTAGCACAGTTAACTGTAACAGGTAAAGATAATCAGAGAATGAAAAATCTATTTGTGAGAAAAGAGTAAAAATTTCTTTGTGTGTCTAGGAACACAAGGACTGAGATATGTTTATGTAGAGTCTATATTCCATCAGAGGGATATTCACCACAGGAGAAAATAATAAGGTTTCTTTGAGACTTAAAATCACAAACCAATTTCAGCACAATAAAAATTTAAGATGAGCAAAATTTGGGTTTACACTTCTGCTGGCATAAGATACAGAAGAAATGCACCTCCTGGAAGGTCAGAGGTGGGGTTCTGTGAAAATACCATAGGAAGGGTGAAAATACACCTGCTGTCCTGCTGCATGGTCATTCTGAAACAAGAAGTTTGTTTGCATGTGTTGAAGTTTGACCTTTATGAAATCAATGCTTTTCTGACTGTGGGTGGTAAGACTCTCCTTGTATGCACAAAAATCTGACTCCACAGACAAAAAATACTGAAGGCCTCAATTTTATAGTAATAAAGCAATGTATTCTTACCTAACAAAGAAGTCCAGGTAAGAAACCATTTTATTTTATTTGCTGTGTTTGAAGTGTGCCAAAATGTGCCCTTATAGAATACTTGTACACATGTGCAGGAGTTCGGTTTTCACCATTCCTCCAAAAACGTATTTTGTGAATTTGCCATGACAGTAAATTGCCTTAACTTTTTCACATTTTTTCCAGTTACTCAGGCGGTCGATGTTTTTAATGTTTCTCTTTTTCCTTATATTTTTTTAATACTAGTATCCACCTTTAACCTCTCCAGTTCCTGAATTCCTCAAAACTCCCTCTACAATTGAACAGCACGTGACTCGTTCCACTGCTGCAACCACCCTGACCACAAGCACTGCATCTGCAGCAAAGCCTGGGCCAGCGTTAGTGAAGGTGGGTACCTGGAACTGTGGCCCCTGAGGACAACATTCTTCATCTGTGTCCCAAACACACAGTGCTGTGTTTAGTGGAATACTACACAAGTAAACTTACAGTGCCTGAACCTAAGAACAACTTCTGCTGCTGTTCAGGGGAGCATACTGGGCTGGTGACTCAAAGCTTTTGTGTGTTAAGGTCAGCCAGTAGCCCAGAGACCAGCTCATTATTCCAAGAGGTCCTTACAGTACAGCTGACAAAAGTTTTCAGGCAGAAATCTGCATTACATTGCAATGGAAGTTTTTAAGAAATAAGGACAATAGGTTTTTGCAATACAGAGTTTCTACTTTCTATCTGCCTACTAATGTAGTTTTGTATGGAGGATAGTTGAACAGAAAGAGAGTCACTGCATTCATAGTCCACTTGTAACCAAAGTGGTGAACAGCATTGCTCCTTTTCCACAACTGTTTTCTTAGTTGTTTCATGTATGAGCAGAATGCTTTGTGAGGGAGAAGTTACTGTATCCTTGTTGAAGATCAGAAGAACATACTCAATTCTCTTTTCTGCACTGCATTGAAAACCATTTCAGATACAGTTAGAGAGGGATTTCCTTTAGATGTCCATAATGTTTCATTTCAGTAACTTCACTGTCTTCAGCTGTGTTAATGAATAGATGTATGTAGACTTTTACTTACCTATGTGAAATTAACTCAGTTAAATGTACAAGGATGACCTCTGGCAGTCATTTTCTAACATAAATTTGGCTGTATCCTTTGAAATCACTGGATATGTACCAGCTTACTTAATGCAGGACCTTAATTCAGATGTGCCCCAGAAGAGGCTATCTGTGTAGTGAACAGGCATGGATCAACACAGCATATCTGCTTTGATACCTTCTGTATGATTAGGTAACTGCCTTCAATTTTTCCCTAAAAATAATTCCAAAGAGCTTGTAAAGGAAGAGAGTTTTTCCACTTGAGCATTGCTAATGAAGATAGTGCTGCCTGTAATTTATAGAAGTGTCTGTCCATGCTTTTAGTGTAGACCTCTGAGTACCTCAGATGTTTACAGATGGAATTTAGAATACTGGCTTTTACTTCCACAAAATGCTAAAGTGGCTTTGAACTTACCTGCTTAAGAAGAATGCCTCTTTGCAATGACAGGTCATGACTAGTAGAATCCCTTAGCTGTGCCACCTTTAAAAAACCATTCACAAACTGAGATTTGATGACCCCTACTTGTGCAGGGGATAAGCCAGCTGGAGTATGTTAACCTTCCAAGGACAGTTCATTTGGGGATGTTTTCAAGGGCAATTGTTTTCAGCAGCTCTCTACAGTAAAAGTGCTCTGGCATGCTGCATCTCTGAGCCATGCATAACTGCTTTAAGTGACATCTGTTATGGTTTTGTTTCAATCTTTTCCATCCATATACAGCAAAGCCACCCAAAGAACCCAAATGATAAACATCGGAGCAAGAAGTGTAAAGAACCTAAGCCAAGGGTGAAAAAATTGAAGTATCATCAGTATATTCCACCTGATCAGAAAGGTGAGAAAAATGAGCCACAGATGGACTCCAACTATGCTCGTCTGCTACAACAGCAGCAACTGTTTTTGCAGCTGCAGATCCTGAGCCAACAGCAACAACACTACAACTACCAGACAATTCTACCTGCACTGCTGAAGTATGTGAAGCATTGTTTGTGTCCTTTTAAGAAAAAAACATACACATCAGTTATAGGCTTAGGGCTTTAGAAGTAAACATGGTTTGCAAACATTAAAGAGACAGCTGGAACCCAAGAAAACTTCACATGGTATTATGCATCACTGTGGGTATTACTCACCATTTAACAAGGTGGTGAGGTTGTTCTCTTGTTAAAATAATCCTGAAGTCTTAGAAGCCTTGAGGTGGTCCTAGTTATTTTTATGTGACATGGAAACAGAACATCTTAGCTATCAGATGTGTTTCTTCTGATCAAATGCATATTTGAAAATCAAAAGCATTCGTGCAAAATCAAGAAAGTTTTGACACCATTTTCACTCAAATGTGAGATAGGCAAAGCAGGAGAGAAGCTTGCAGACTATGTCTTTAACAGACATGCACTATTCCTGTGGGTTTGTTTATTTTTCTTTACATCAAATTCACAAACCACATTCTTGCAGTTTACAAATAAGACATAACAGTCATTTTAAATTTGATAAGATCTGTGTGTTGTTTATAGCCTCATCTCTAATGCTTATAGGAGTTCCTCATTAGTACTGATCTTTAGCACTTTTAACAGTGAGAAGTACACTCACTGATTTATAGGTAGAAGCAGTCAAAAAAATAAATGTTTAAAGAGTTGCCAGCATCCCATAACAAAACAAGAAGTTGACTATCTGGAGTTTCACTCTCATCATCTAAGACCAATCCTTTCCTAGAAGTCCTTAAAGTGTAACATGCTACAGTCACACAAGCCTAAATTCAAATTGACTTTCAGCTATTTTTTTTTCATGAGTTTTCACTGAGTTCTTTTTCTTGAGCAAGTGAGGCTAGAAAAGTTAAAGCTACCATCTGTGGTTGTATTTATAATTACCATGTATCCTAACATTTGGACTGGCGATGTTTCTGCCTGCTTGCCCACGCTTCTTATGTTCCATTTACTGACATTTCAGAAACATTTCTTCATAAATCAGCTGAACGAAATAAAAGAGCTGACTTATGGTACCTAGTGTAAATGGTGCCATTTTAAATTTTTTACCATTACTTCGGAATCTTTATATGAGATTCTTGAGTACAGCTGATAAAAATGCATCATCTTCAAAGTGAACTGCTTTATGTCAGTCCGTAGTGTGTGTGAACATTGGACATCTATGGAAGGGTTGAACCACAGAGTTCAGTACTGGGGGGTGGTTACTGATGCCAGACAAAAAACTAACTAATTGCCCTGGCTGGTGATTAATTTGTGTAAACAGAGTTTGCAGTCCATAGTGTTCTTCAGAGATACCATGACAATAATCAGAACTATGAAGCATAAATTGGTATGCTTCACTGCAAAACCAAACCAAAATAGCAACATACTACTCTCTGTTTTCTTGTCTGTTTTGTTTTACTGAAAATATGTAACAGTAATGTGTTAGGTTAAGCGTGGATTTGTGAAAAAAGTTAATTTGTTCATTAGCTTCACAGACATGAGATTCAGAATCACAGCCTCTTGATTGAAAACATAATATATTTAGCATTCTTGTCCCTCTTTCCTGTTACTTGAAGGCCACTGAATGACAAACAGAGCAACAATGGGAATTCACCACTGAATACTCTGAACAACAACAGTACCCCAACATCAGCTGCCAGCTCACCAAGACAGAACAGCAGTGTTCCTAGCAGGAAACCAGGTCCTCTACCTTCAAGCTTGGATGACTTGAAGGTAAAAGATAAGAGGGATTTGTCCATTCTTGTGCATTACTGTAATTCATAATTTGTGAACTGTTACTGTTGAGAATATGCCTGGTGATCTGTACCAATGAAAACTGTTCTTTCCTCCTAATTGGGTAGAATAAGATTGTCCAAGTTTTCATACACAACTCTCCTGGAAATATTTGATTGCTTATATGCATATGTTCCAGAACTGACATTTCTTTCCCAAAGAATTAGAAGAGGAGGAATTTCAGACACATTGTATTGGTCACTGTGGCACCTTGGGTAAGCTGTGAGGTTCACTTCATGTGAAGTTTCAGCTCAGGCAGATTTAAACACAGGAGCAGTATTTCCTCATGACAATTTCATGTGTATCAGTGAAGAGGTTTAGTTAAGTAATATAAATGAAAGGATGCCCTAATAAAAACATACTCTGTGAGGTCACTGCTATAAACAGAGACAGAAGTAAGACTGTAAAGAGAGAACAGAAAAGATCTTCTTACCAGAATTCAACACATCTGAAAATGAACACTAAATGCCAAAGTTTCCTGAAGTTAACTGTGTAGACTGTTCAGGTTGCACTATGAGGGCATTGCATAGGATCTTCTTCTTTCTGAAATACATGAGAAGTAGTAAAGACTGTGAGGGACCAATCTGAAGCAGTGTGTGGGGGTTTAGGATTCAGCAGCTGTAGGAATGTGCCCAACTTCAGCAGCAGCGTAGGGACATCTAGCGGGCAATTAATTCCTTTCTCTCTGCCTTTACCGAGATTTGTGAGGGGTGGGAGGGAGGTTTCTTTTAGATTTGAAGGGATAAAAAGAAGAAAATTCAGAAGATTGGATTCTCAAGTCAGTAATATATTGTCCTAAGTTAAGCCAATCTTTTAATATGAAATAAGTCTATAAAATGCAATTCAAACAACAGCGTTTGAAATCAGTTTTCCAGTCTTTAAATTTTTAACTAAAAACTTATAAAGATATTTAAGTTAATACCTGGAATTGTGCTTTGCAGTGATTAAAGCTGTTCAATTACCTATTTCTGCACAATTTATTGGTATTCCTGCTGATGTGGTAACACTAACATAAGCCTTCCTTGCAGACCGGCTGATGGTGGTTTTATCACTGAATCAGCTAAATCAGTTCTGAGTAAGAGTTCAGAAATGAACTGTTGAAAAAGAGAAAAATTAGAACACACTCTCAAGTGCAGGGGGTACCAGACTGGGGGAAATACTGAGTCATTGGCTAGGGAGTTACTTAACACAAAATTGCTGTGCGTTTTAGAGACGTAAAATGTATTGCTGTGACTTTTCATCATTTCCAAATCCAAAATACCTACAAGTTAAATTCTAGGCTGGCTGAGTACTGAAATACTACTGAGGTCACTACCTTTAGTGCTGTTAGAGGTAGCTCTAATATGCAGGGAGCCCCAACCCTGCAGTTAGCTGTGGTGTATGTTTATGATAAACAGAAGTCATTCTTGTGACTGCTTTTCTTTAACTGATATTTTGAAGCATAGAATCAATTTACACTCAAAACATTTGCACTTTACATTGTCTGTAAGTTTATTGGAAAAAACTGAGAACGTTTTCTATCAGAAAGTAATTTTGACTGTTTATACTGTTTTTGAAAAGGAAACACAGGTGACACAGGGTGACTGTCTGGTTGCTAATTAGCAAGAGAGGCTTTTGTGTTCGATGGGTCCATTGAATCATCAGCTGACCTGATAAAGTTTCTCAGATCTGTCTGTCCTGATGGTGTAACAAAGGGGCTCAGCGTGCTGCTGTTCACTGCTTTTATCTGCACTGCTACCATTGTCTGCTGGTTTGCTTCAGATGTTTTTAGCTCAGAACTGGAGCTGTAGGTGCATTTTTCCATGTTGAATATTTATGAAAAAACATCATCAGTTTGCTGCTATTCACTGTACAACTGAACACTGCTAAGATATTGGCCACTTAAACACTGAAGTAAGTAGGTGGTCATGGAAATGTGTTCATAGATAATGCATGCTGTCAGAACCCAGAGGTTTAATAACTAGCAAATATGCAAATGAAAATAATTTTCATTATTAAGATGTAATAAGAATGCATGTAAGTTTTAATATTTTCCTTTTTTACTGTAGTGTTTTGTTTTATTTTATTTTATTTCAGGTAGCAGAGCTTAAAATGGAGTTGAAACTGAGGGGATTACCAGTGTCTGGAACAAAAACAGATCTTATTGAGCGTCTGAAAACCTACCAAGATCTTAACAACAATGGGGTTGCTACAAGTACCTCTGTCACAGTGACCACTTCTAGTGGGGCCACAGGTAACACTGGGGAAGTGACTGTGGCATTTCCTGTTACAACAGTAAATAAACCAGTGGCTAATACGACATCCAGCTTCCCTCCAGAAAAAACATCTACTGAACCTGGCAGCAAAGCAGTAAATACTGAAATCATCAGCTCTCCCCTGCCTATATCTCCCTCTCCCTCTGAACAGTCGAGTCTAAGCACAGATGATACGAGTATGGCAGACACTTTCCCAGAAATGACCATGATGTCACCATCCCAGTTCCTAAGTACTTCACCACTGAGAGCAAGCACAAACGAGGATAATCAGAATCGCAGCAGTGGAAGCATCTCAACCATGGAGTATGATGTAGCAGAAAAGGACCGCAAGCTTCAAGAAAAAGAAAAACAGATTGAAGAGCTCAAAAGAAAACTGGAACAAGAGCAAAAACTTGTGGAAGTATTGAAAATGCAACTTGAGGTTGAAAAAAGGGGACAACAGCAACAGTCTCAGACTTTTGGTAACTCAGCTGCTTTGGAACAGAAGCAGTTCAGTGCTGCTGTCAAAGATGAAACTGCTCCTGCTGACTGCTCAAGTACCAGTCAATCTGTACCTGTAGCCAGCCATTCCTTAGGACAGTCAGCGTACCCCGCTGGCCAGAATCCCGTTGCCAAAAAGGCAGTTGTTATCAAGCAGGAGATACCTGTGGCCAAAGCTGAACCTCAGAATGCCATTTCTCAGTTTTATGTTAGTCCACAGAGGCAGCCACAAACTGCAGTTGTTGCCCAGCCTCAAGCTCTATTAACTACCCAAGGAACTGCCCAGCTGCTCCTCCCACTGTCTATCCAGGCACCAAATGCTGCCACCACAGTGCAGTTACCAGTTGGAAATATCAAGTTGCAGGTAAGGGTGTTTCTATTTTTTTATCACGTAACCAGCATTGCAGTATTTCATAACTTAGTGTAAATAGGTAAATGTGCTTCTTGTAAGATTAACTTAAAAATCAGGCTGAGCCTGTTTCTGCTTAGGGAAAACAGTAGAAAAGCTTGAGCTCATCTTGTAATACCTGCTTCTAATACTTGTTTCTTTGCAACTTCTGTTCCTAGATACTCTTTCCTGAAAAGCAATTGCCTTACCATGTACTGCCTCCATGCACAATTTGATTTAAAGTAGCATATACCATAATTTTGTTAACTGCAAAATGTAATAGAGAGCTACAGTCTCAGTACTTCATTTTGAGATAGGCCTGTTTGCAAAACATATGTGAACTGCCTTGTGTGGTGGTGCTTCAATATATTTAAAAATGTGAATGCCAGGTTGTAGAACTCTCCTGTGGACTTAGAAAAAGAAACCATGGTTATGCAAATATTATTTGTAGGCTGATTATAGGTAGTGAATAAATACAGCATAAACCAAGACAGGCTGTAAATACAGAGATACAGAAGTAATCTGACCAAGCTGAATCAGTGTAACCTGTTGGTCTGAGGTAGAATTAAGCAGTAATGCACTGTTGGAACATCCCCTGCAAACATCCCCTGCCACCCATCATGGCAGCAAAGTATTCTTCCAGCTGCAGTGTGTCCCTGGCTGTTGTGCATGCTGTGGGCCTGGGCTTGCTGCAAGCCTGTGCAGAAGTACATGCAGCAACCTTTATGAGGGGTGGAAAGTTCTGGTGAGGATCTGCACCCAGTCTGCAGTGCAAGAACTGTTCCTAGAAGCTACAACCAGATCTCCACCTGAATTGTTCTAAAATCCTGCTAGAAATCTGCAACAACCTTAAGCAGCTTGTCCTGGTATTTTACTTTACCTATACTCCACAAAGTTTTCTGCTATCACTTAAAATTGTTTTTCATGAGGTTAGACACACTTCTTGCCTTTCACTGGCCATTAAAAATGACCATGGTCTTAAAAGCAACCTTTTTCTTGCATTATCAGTTTTCTTTTCTGATTACTCAAGCCAGCTCTTACAGTCCTTTCTTACTGATATCTGCTCTCTCTGTCCCCTTTTATTTTTAGCATTTCCACTGGGCTCTCTCCAGTTTGTCTTTGTCTTAAACTCTGTTGGCAAAATAAACATCACCTTTTAGCTGGGAACTCCCCAGTACCAAACATAGTAACAGTTTGGTTTCCTGTACAGTTCCCACTCATCCCTCCCAGAATACATGTTACTGCCATTCTGCATAAGGTGTGCAATAGATTTTTACATTATGTAACTTACTGTGAGATACAAATAATTCAAATATGTTATCTTCATCCTTTAGGCTCAATCACAAGCTGGAATACAGACCCCATCACAAATACCTGCTCCTATTTCTTCCTCTGGCCTGGTGCAGACAGCACCTCAGATGCATGCTCCACAATCAAAACAAAAAACCATCACGCAGCACGCACTTGATCAGACCCAGCAAATCAGAAAGGTTTGTGGATAGCAATAAACATTAAGATAAATAGTTGTATAATCTAGTTCTAGGCAGTGCTTTTAGAATCTTTTATGTGTCATCTGTGTTATATACAAGTCACCTAACATCTGTACCATATTTTTCTGTGTGATACAATGGGCTTATAACTCCTTCTTTTTCCAAAATTTTAGTCTGTGCAGGACTTTATTTTTCAGTTGCAGATAAATACATTGTCTAAAGACTTTTTATCTTAATGGTACACTTAAGGCATGACTCTTACTACATCCTTCCTCATGCAAGCGGTGTGTACCAGGTATATTCCAGTCAGTTTCTCTTTATTTGCCACTGGATCTAAATGGGAGATTCTCATAGGCAGTTCTTAAGAAAAAGCTTTTACTTATGACTTCAAAGATTTATTCCTTTATAGAAGTTAATTCTGGTTTTCTGACTTTCCTTGTTGATTTCATCCCTCCTTATGAAGAAAGCTATGGACTCAGATCCTGAGGATGGTAATTCCAGTGAGTCAAAACCCTACCATACCTCTTCCTAAGGAATGCAGGGTATGATTCAGAGATCCTTCTCTTCCTGTCTACCAAAAACAGTCAGCTCTGTAATGTCCCATTCCAACACATGTTCCTCAGCAGTGGATGTACAGTTGTGACTGCCACTCCAGTCATGTTCATATGGGAACTGATACCAACCCATCAGCACCAGTCATCACAAAAGAAAAGGTTTTCTCCTCCTCTGAGCCTCTTCTAGACTAACCTCTGTTATTAGGAACGTGGAGATTAGTTTTGGACCTTTATTGCATCCTTATCAGTGGACAGCAAGGTTTTTCAACCTGCCCCTAGGGACACATAATTCAGAAACAACTCAAACTCCAAGATGAAGAGGGTCATTTTTAGTGTATTATGTAACTGTTATATCTCAGCCTTTGAAGTTCTTATTTCAGTTTACAAAAGTGCATCATTAACCCCATACTCTGCTGTGATTTGGGGATTGTACCTGAGCAATGTAACCGTATCAGCCCTCTGCTTGGGCTCTTGTTGCAGATAAGAATTTACCTTAGAAGATGTATGATTGTGCTTTGCCATTCTCTAGAGAGCTGGGTAATAAAGGGGGTCACAGCTAAAGGAGCATCAATACTCTTCAGACTGCTTGTTCAGTCTGTTTAATTTCATGGACATTGAGGTTATCCTTCAGAAGTCAAAACTGAGATACATCCAAAAAGCAGATTTAGTGCAGATTCTCTGGGATTTGGTGAGGGGCTAATCTGACCTTGTTAATGAAACAGGTCCTATAGAGAAATTTTCCAATCATCCTGAGGCATGTACTTGTACCAGAGACAGGCATCTTGCTGCCATTGCTGCCTCCAAGTTCCTTAAAATGTCTGTAGGACATAACCAAGATCTGTACCCTCCAGCTCTCCCCTCTATTCAGATCAGTTGTCATGAAGACCACAGTTCCCAGCAGAGTTTGCAGCCTGCTACTGCACTGGTTTTTACATCAAAATGAAAATATTGATGTGATACAACAGATCAGGACACGCCTCATGCATTCAGCATTAGATCTACCTCTCTCCATCCATGACCTAAGATTTGTCACCTTTGTTATAAAGGTATTTGGGAGTGATACTGAATTTAAAACAGCCTTACGTGCTCATGCATTCATAGCTTCTCTTCATCTCCTTTTGACTCAAAAGTATGAGAAACAGGATACTGCTGGGAATCACTTGCAATGAGTATCTGCACTGCCAGTTGAAGAAATAGTTTCATATACCTGTAACCAAACTTATAGTTGATAACCTGTGTTCATCACTTTTATCTTTTGCCTCTCCCTCAATCCTCATAGATACCTGTAGTTACTTTCCAAAAAAAATTAGAATTATATGGCACAGACAAACCATTCTGTCTTAAAACTGGCAGGAGAGGGCAAATGTGGATATATGTACAGTTTGTATCAGGTCAGAAATAAGCTAATTTGTCTAGACTGTCCACTAGATGGGGACATCATGGATATGCTATTGAACTGTTCCATACACTTTCCTTGTGCTTCCGTGAAAATTGCAGGAAAATGTTTTTAGTAATGAGTGATGGATGAAAGTATGTCAGAGCACAAAGTTTCTTTCAGAAACTAACTGTTCTGAATCTAGAAGTTATTCAGTTTAAAGGAAAAATCAGTATAAATAACATCCACTTAATAGGAAATTTAAGCAAGCAAGTATTTTAGAAAAAAAGTTCTTATATTTCATTAATGTAATATATCCAATGTTACCTTTTTTTTTTTTTTTAAATAAAACCACAATCTGAGACTGATCTGTTAATCCTTTTCAGGTTTTTCCACCTGCCACATCAAATGCAGTATTTTCCTATCAGACTGCACCAGTTTCAACACCCTCACAGCCTTTTATTAATAAAACATCAAACTCTAACATTCACCCTGGTGGTAATCAGGTCCCTTCTGTGCAGAATGGACCTGCTGCTCCCAACAAGGTAAGGCTATCCCAACAGTCTTCCATAAAGTTCAGGTTTATATTATTATTCTTATATAACATGTGACTGTTTACATAACGCACTTCACTCAAGGAAGAATGTTTTGTAGATTTTAAGAATGCTGATATGTGCATGTGTGTTAGAGAGGGAGAAAGAAACTTATTTTATCCCTCTGGTTACGCTAATACATGGATTGATGTGACAAAATACAATAATCTGTAGAGCTTGATCCTGAATTCACTAAATTACATAATTTAGTCATTATTTTGTTATTTTACACAGCCTGGGTCTCCATCTCAAGCCCAGCCTTACATTGTTCAGCAACCTCTCTTCAACAACACAGTGTCCAAGACAAAAGATCCTCCTCGTTACGAAGAGGCCATAAAACAGACCCGCAGTATTCAGCCATCACACCGTGAGGTACTTGTTTTCTTTAGTCTGTTATAAACAAAGCTTTTCTCTACAATTACCAAAACCATTGCTTGTTTTAGGTTTTGATTTTTTTTGTTTGGTGTCAAGATTTTCTAACATACCCTGTCACTAGTTTCATAACTGTGTTTAACTCCAGCACTCCTGTTTCATTATTCTTTTATTGAAGCAGCATATATGTAAGTAAGTCTTAGAGTTCCCAGTTGGTGACACATCTAATTGGGATAATGCTGCTGTTGCTACTAACAGTAACTAGCCTTCAGATGACTTGTTTTGAGAATGTGTGATACCCAGACCTCACACTTAAGAGAGGAAATACGTTTGTATTTTCCAAAGTGAGTAAACTTGAGGAGAATCTGTGTGAATGTGTTTATACACACAGGCAAACATGAGCATAGGTGCTTGCTTAAAAAGAGTCTGCATTGAGTGATCTTAGTGAGTAATCCTATGTAGTGCTTTGCCAGTATGAGTAATAATGGTTATTCCTAATTTTGTGCGTTTCAGAACTATCCCAGAAGATAAAACCCTGTAGCTCCTTGTGTTGGTTGGGTTTTTGTGGTGGCAGATCACAGGCACAGCTATGGGTGTCCAATGCCCTTTCCTGTGTCCTTGGCATGTGCAGGACATCCCCACAGTAAGGGCACACAGGTTGTCTTAGGTCACTCTATCACTACCAGTCAGCCAGGGGCTCCCCGCTAGATCTCCTGATGACAAATCATTTCCCATCCCTGGAGCATAAGCAATGGTTTAAAACACTTCAGACCTTCATGAAAGTCTCCACTTTTTCTAGACTTTTTGAATGAGTGGGTTTGTAGGAGGTTTTCTTACCTTTTGCTTAAGGTTCAGTTATTTAGGGGATGGCTGTTTAGAGCAAAGATGAGCAGTTCCTGAAAGCTTATTCCCCCCTTTAAAAAATAAAAGAACATAAATCTACAAATTGGGAAAAAAACCCAGAGATACCTAATAAAATGCATCTTACATGATGGACATTCACAGGCTATTTTTGAGAGACAGTAGAGCAGGGTTTGCAACCCCAAAGTGCTGCAGTTATTATTATGCTGGTACAAAATGGGGTTAGTAACTCTCCAAATACGTAGCTTCCTGCGCCACTCTCTTAGGTTGCCTTCATGAAGTCTTTGTCATGCTTTTTCCCTATTCCTTTGTACTAAAACCAACTACAGAGACTGCATATATCTCTCCAAAGTATCTGTTTCCTAGATAGACAATTTCATATTAAGGATTTCAGTCTTTATTATAGGTTAGTACTTACATACTGTTGATAGAAACTAGGAACAATGAGAGTAGGAAAAAATGCCATATGGAAGAGAAATAACCCTGTTCTCCTGCACTACAGATTTCCAGTGCACACAGTCAGCAGATGGATGATCTTTTTGATATTCTCATCAAGAGTGGAGGTAAGCTCACTGACAGCTGTATGATGTAAAGATTTAAAACCTGGTAATAAAAACGCGCTGCTATAATCAAATGAGAATTCTTTTAGGAATAGGAATAGGAGTTAGAATCTATCTAGCCTGAATGAAGCTAAATTTCTGAAGTTTGCTTAGTTCCTTATTAAAGAAAACAGTTACCAAAACACATACAGTCAACCTGCTGTGGAACTTCATGCTTGCAAATTAGCTCAGGCAGATCTTTACAATAATCTCTACAGCATTCAAATGATTAAAATAACACCTTAGGTTGGCACAGACATACTTTATCAAAATTGGAAATTTGAGCAAGTCCATAACATGTTTATTGAAATTATAGAAAGAACAGAATAAGGTAAGAGTTAAAGCATGTTGATAGTCAAATTTCATTAAATATAACCATGTGTTATCAACTATAAACATCAAAGATACATTACTGGGAAAAGTGTGCATGAACTACATGGAGACGTGAATGAATAACAACTTTATGTCAGTTAAAATAAGGGAGCTATCAGAAAGGCACTGATATAACTAAAGTAATAAACAGAGTAGCTCAGCAGGAAGGAGGCTTTCACCCATAATTATGCTTAGTAGCCTAAGAGGCCATTACAATGGTGGGAAATGTTGTGGTGCCAAGTGATTCAATTAATGGAATGGTTTGTAACTGCTGTCATATAAGGATCTTGACAGGAGCGAATGTCAGGGCAGAGGGACTGGTTCTAGGCAACTGGAAGACTAGCTGTATTCTAAACATCAGAGTATTTTTTTCTTTTTCAAAGCAAATTGCAAGGTCACCTGCAGAAAATGTGAGTAGACTGAGATAAGTAACTTGAGTACTCAACAACTCAAGCTAAATTAATGATCATCTTTATGAAAAAAACAAAGTAAAGCATTCAGGGCTGTTGCACTTTATGTAAGTAAGCTCTGCACTGAAAAATGTTTCATTTACTAATGTACTTCAGAAGAGTGAGAAGGATGTGGGTTTTTGCTTGGAAAACCAGCAGAAAATACATTGTCAGGTATATTTTTTCTGCTAGGAACATCACTTGTGCTAGAGGATTTATTTGCGTATTTTTCTGTCTTGTTTTTGAGCTTCATTCATATCTAAGAATAAACGCTTTATTTCCCCTTATTGTTACTGCCACTGTCTTATATGGGACTTCTTGATAGAAGTGTAGTTTTAGATTCTAGAATTGGGAATAAATGCTTCCTAATCACATCATTTCATCTCATGGCCTCTTAATTAACCAATGTGGACAGTACTAAACAGGGATGAAACTGGAAATTGGTTTGGGTACTCTTCTCTAGACAAGAAAATGTGTTGGTTCCATAATTGTTTCAGTTAACGAGAAGAACAATAAATGTGAAGGAGGTTAAGGTAAACATCTAGAGACACGTTCCTTTTTTCATCAATACTAATTGGCTGAGCTATCACTGAAAGCAGAACTTTGTGACTTCTTAAAAATACCCTGTTGTTCATGGAGGCCATGCCAGAGTCTGACGTATGTGAATACGAGTGGAGCATCAAAGTGACTGTTAGTGCACTTAATTCACTGTGGATGCATCCCAAAGTGGGCTGGAGTTTCTAAGTATGAGGATATTATGTCATCAGCTGTTTGAATTCAACAGTGGGGTTTGTTTATTACAGAGATTTCCCTTCCAATAAAAGAAGAACCATCTCCCATATCTAAAATGAGACCAGTAACAGCCAACATCACTACAATGCCAGTGAACACAGTGATATCCCGTCCACCTCCGCAGATCCAGATGGCCCCTCCTCCTGTGTCCTTAGAACCAACAACCAGCTTGTCTATAAGTTTGGAAAACCAACTTGAAGCCCTCTTGGATGGAACTTTACCATCAGGTAATGAAATTCCTCAACTGACAAGTAGTAATGAGGACAGAGAGTCATTTTCTTTAATTGAAGACCTCCAGAATGATCTGCTTAATCACTCCAGCATTTTAGATCACTCTCATTCACCCATGGAAACATCTGACCCACAGTTTACTGCTAATAATTCTTGTCTGTCTCTTGACCTTCCCGATACAAATTTGGACAATATGGAATGGCTGGACATTACAATGCCCAGCTCCTCATCTGGACTCACCCCTCTCAGTTCTGCTGCCCCGAGTGTGTTTTCCACTGACTTTTTAGATCCACAGGATCTACAGTTGCACTGGGATTGAGCTATAGCCAATGAGAACACGACCTGCAAGTCTCTTTACAGCAGAGGTCCATAATTATACCATTCTGATTGCAGTTAGCATAAACTAAGACAGTAATGTTTGCAAGAACAAATGCTTGAAGCTAATTCCTTACTGATTTCCAAGTTTACAACAGCGAATCACTTTATGCACCTATCAGTAATGCAGATCAGGGCCCTCTGAAAGCTGTATTTCACAAGTCAAGAAAGGATGATTGTACTTCGTGATTAAAAGTACCCCAAGGTAAATGTATCACAAATATTTAAGAAAGAAGTTAGGTCTCTGACTTTGTAATGCTCAAATGAGCAAAACAACATGACTAAACTTAGAGTGAGATGTCAGTTCTCTGTATTGACCCAGTGAGCAAATGTCTGGGGGAGGGGAGATATCACTGCACTTCATTGTTCCTGTGGAAAGCCTGAGCCAGGTTCAGAACTAATTGTGAGGGCAAAGGCAAGTAGAAGCACTGGCTGGTTCAGTGAAATTTCATATATCTAGTCTCTTAATTTGTTCAAATTGTTTTTATATTTTGCTTTTGTGGATTTTAAAACACTTCCCCATTCTTTAATCATGAGGGAGGAATTTAACTGCATCCAAAGGGATATTAAGTGTAACTGCAAGAAATCCACTGTAGCTAATGCCAGGTAATATTGAGAACACTGAATTTTCTATAGCAATGCTCTGGATTTAATAGCTAGGTTTTAATGTGTATATCAGACAGTTATTTGTATACTCTTTTAACTTTATATAGCTTATTTTTGTGAACAGAGGGGAACACAGTGGTCTTCAAACAAGAGATTATTATAATGGAAGTAAATATCCTATTTTGCTTTGTGTTTGAGGATATTTGTTAGATCATTGAATCCAGTATCTCAGCATACTAGCAAAGTTTGAGGAAGTAGAAAAGTTCAATTAATAGTGTTGTATACTACAGTCCTGCAAGCATCTATGCAAGAATAGTCCCAATGCCCTCAATAAGAGATGTTTGTAGGACGAGATCAAGCTGCAGGGGACAGTGCTGACAGGACAACCATAATTTCATAATGAACACTTTGTCTGTTGAACAGCTTTGTCTGCCACTACATGACATCAGGGAAACCAACAGAGAAGCTGCTCAGTGTGAATCCTAAACACCAGGATCAGAATGTACTGTTTGTGATAAGAAGGCATATGCATATCTGAAACAAAGAATAGCAAAAATTAAGGTCTTACCTCACAGCACAGCAAGTGAATTTTTTTTGTTTGTTTTAAAGCCCTTAGTTGTTGTTTTCAGAGTCTATTTTGAAAGCAGTTAGAAAAACAAAAAATTCAAGTAGAACTAATATACTTTGACATTCTATGGTTGTCTCTCAGGTAATAGCTGTTAAATGTTGCCATAGATGATGGAGGCTAATAATCAAACACAAAATTGGAATTTCCTATTAGGGAATTCCTAAATTAAGATAAAAGGAAACACTTCCCGTTTCCTGAAATGGGGAGATAGTGTATGTTTTCTAGTCTGAAAACTGATTTCATTGCATGGTTCTTTCCTCACCAACAAGTTTCAAAAATACAGTTTTGTAGGATTGAATGAAAAAATGCCCCAAAGCTTTTGCCTACTTCTTAGAATAATGATACGTATCAAAGAAATACTGAAAGCAGTAAGTAGCTGTTAATTCACTTAGCAACCTTCACCACATTTTTCAAAAAGAAAAACACAACACAATCATGTTAACATCAAACAAATACTTTTGTCAGAAAATGTTATGGAATTAACTGAAAATTTGCATCTCCAGCTATAATGCAGTTTGGTTTACTGATATGACAGAATTCCATTTGCTTCAGATAAAATAACGGATTACATCAGTGATTCAGAGTTTGAACTGATACCATATGTTTGCATCATATCAATTACAGCACTTTAAATCATTATGTATCTTCACTGGTTTTACTGGCCAAGAATTACTGTAATCTGAAACTAAGTACACGAAAACAATCTTTGGAGATTTTCACTACACGCAGTTGAAAGACATAATTCCTTATTCCTTCTTGCTGTGCCTACAATACTTGAGTACAATATTACATGTGGACTGTCTGCCTTAAGCTTTGATGGTGTAGGACTTTTCAATAACAGTGAACACTTAACATTCAACTTTTTGCATTCCTGTTCATCATCCTATCTTGGGAGCTGATACTTTGAGATACGAAGTGCCCTCGGCTGTTACGAGAATAAGAATCAAGGACTGATAGGAACAACTCTGAATGAAATTTAGTGTTCTGCAGTACTGTCAGTTTATTATGTGTGATACACCAGACATCAAACAATATATGTGTGGTTAGAGTTATCCCTTTTTGACCCTGCCTCCTGATTAAATGAGAGGCAAGTAAATTAATTGTTAGAGGACAAATTAACCTAGAGCAACTGTACTGTCATTTTTGATGTGCATGTAAATAGAGCTTGAAACTGGCGAAGTCATCTTGCTACAAAATTACCCTTATTGGCAGTGTAGAATGTTAATTAATCCATAGGAATCTTTGTGCAAAAATAAACCCAAACAGTTGAGATGTCTTGTTTTCAGTACGGTATAGCTTTCTGCTCTGAACGCCTATTTGAAAAAAAAAATAAAAATTAAGGGATCATTTTAGTTTCTGAAGTACAAATATTCTAGTGTAGGGAATGTGTGATTACTTTCCTGTACATTTCAGAATTATGTATTAAACCTTATATAAAATGGTTTGCTTTAGACTTTGTTCTGAAATGTGATATGTTTGCCATAGTTGTGTATGCCTGTTTATGGCAGAAATAGGTTTTGCTTAGACTTTTGTGTGTGCATGTTTTACATGAAAATTTTTGTAGCACAAATACATCTTAGAAATTTAATCATGGCTGTGCAGTTTGACTGCACAGAACTGAATCTTTCTCATTAAGAGAACAGTTGCAAAGGAATGCACTGGCACTAAATTTGCCATTTAATGGCTGCAGTATACTAACAGAATGCATCCTATCAAATGTGGTTTTAGTGGGTCCTTCAAAATAATTAAGAATACCTTTTAATCAGTATGAAAATCAGAAGTTGGTTGTTTACACATCTAGACAGAGAGAGCTCAGACAATGTTTTACTAGGCTCCAGTTACTCAAGAGGAGTCACATCCTGCGTTCAGTAGAGAAACAGAATTTACTGTGCACTAAAAGTGCCCTTCAGCATCAGTTACAGCAAGGAAGTTCACAGGCAAAATTTAGTTTAACATTGAAAATAGTTTAAAAAGCATTGTCATACTCTCTCTGACAATAAAATTAAATTATGACAGTTGTTCTCTACAGAAATTTAAAATGTAATCCAGCAAAGTGGGCTTGCAGACCTGCAGAATCAGAACTTCAAAAAGCTGAGGCCACAGCTTTCAGAAATGATCACTACTTAATACTGACATTTATTTCCCAGGTATTTCTAAATTCACCAACAAGAGTCATGTTCAGAGAAGGTGGTGATCCAAACAGAAGTGTCAGCATTAAACTTTTCTGTTACATAATCTCAAACATTCAGGTGCCTCAAAAGTGTAGGCACTGTAATCAGAACACAAGCACAAGCTGCTGAACTATTTTCAAGGCAGAGAAACTGCAGTTACAGGATACATTGAACTGGAAGGGCATTATGTAATCAAAACACAGGAAAGTTCACCGATGTAAACAATTATTATTTGGATGGCATCTTAAGTGTATTGTTAAAGCAAACTCTATTAAAACTGGAAAAAAAATCTTCCACTTATCTCTAGTAAATGTTCTGTTGAAACTCTTGGTATTGTGGTCTATGAAAGCACCTTTCAGTGACTTTTAGACCATACCCCAGAAGGTATTTCATGTGAGATCCGTGAAATTGACTTACATATAGTATATACATGGCCAATGAAGAGCATCCATAAAACCTGAAATAATCTCAAATATTCCTTTTATACCAGTTTGCTAGGAATAAAGTGCAAAAAAGAGACACCTACATCATTCTGTAGTGTCCAATACTGAATATAAATTGTTTTTAAGTTAAAAGTGCATAAATGTATTTGTAGAAATCTAGCCAAAAAAAAGCCATTCTAGCTATGAGAGCAAATTCTCAAAAAAAAGCAGGGAATGGTTAATAACTATATAATCACACTATTTTTATAAAATTATACAGCTCAGATATTCAAAAGACAGCCTAAAATAAATTATAATAATATAAAAATTTAAATAGGAACCAAAGCATTGCCATTTATATTGCCAAAGGAGGCACTTTGTATTTTAAAACATAGGAAATTAAGTCCCCAAAAGTGTTATCCATACTTTTTTAAAATTAAGGATGTAGATATTTTCAAAGCTGTTTTTGATGTTTAACAGTACAGATTTGTTTTTGTTGTTTGAGAAATTTGTAGTAACTAATAGCACAGGCTTTTTTCCAGATAGGATTTTCTTCACAGTACTGCTTGCAGTAGAAATAACGCTAACCCTAGGAGTAGGTGTTTCTCTTCTTATTTTCATATCCGTAATTATGTCTTAGCATCTCATTTTGTGAAAGAAGAAGATAAACACCTGTCTCTGGGGCCCTCTTCATTTAAGCACTACTTTACTAAATGCAAATTATGGCAATCAGGGCGTCAGTTTATGTATTGCCTTTCTAGAACCATGATGCCTTTGTATTTGCTGTTTGCACCCCTAAAATCAATTCCATATGTTTGAATGCCATATGTTTTGCACATTGTACTGTATATATGTAATGCATACTGTATTTTTATATGTGTACTACATTTATCAAATATTTTGTACATAGTGGCAATATTGTAGCTACTGAGGAAATGTTTGATATTTCAGCATTTTTGCTAAGTGTCTCAAATAAAAAAGGAAAACTGTGTTCATTTGTCCATGGTTACTACTTAAAATGAAAATATCATTCTGACTTTTACGAGTCTGATACATTTGGCCTATGTTCTAAGTACCTTTCTCACAGAAAGGAGTAAGAATGAATCTGCAGCCCCAAAGAATTATGGTTTGCCTTTAAAATCAGAGCCAAAATCTGTAAGAACAGAGACTTCCTGTACCCTTGAAGTTTAGGTGTGGCTTTCCATTATTTTTAGCAATTTTTTCATAGAGCATCATTTACTCATAGAATGGCCTGGGTTGCAATGGACCTTAAAGTTCATCTTGTTCCCTGCCCTGCAGGGACACCTTCCACTATCCCAGCTTGCTCCAAGCCCCGTGGAACCTGGCCTTGGACACTGCCAGGGATGGGGCAGCCACAGCTTCTCTGAGTGACTCACTCCGGTATCTCAGCACCCTCACAGTAAAGAACTTCCTCCTAATGCCCAATCCAAGCTTTCTGCCTTTCAGTTTGAATCCCTCCCCCCTTGTCTTCTCACTGCAAACCTCTTGTCATGCACTTTAATACATGACTTTCCCAAATTCTTCCAAGGTTTTCAAGTTGTGTTGGGTTGTGAGATTTTGTATTTTTGATTTGCATTCTGCTCAGCTTCTGGAACACCTGAATGAATTTTCTCAGGAGTATGAGCTACGAGCTGTTTGCACAAGCTTCTTTTAAAGATGAAGCTGTTTCATTTAAATATTTAGTGTTACACCTCCCCTTGTGAAGGCAGTCCTGTACTAATCACCCACCCTTTCCTCATTAAAGTCTGTTCTACACTGATGACATCAGAAGTTTTGATATTTGGCCAAATATTAAAACTCCATAAAGTAGTAAGTAGTAATTGAGTAAAACTGAAAAAAATTAAAAATTACTGATAAACACTGTACATTTCATATAATATCTTTTCTCTGTGAACTTTAACCATTGTAAAAGTTTGTAGGCTGTATGTGCCACAAACTTACTTTTGATATCATACACCAAACACAAATATTGCAAAACAAGTGCAGCACTTTTTGACCATGTATTTTTGTGCATTAAACAAATTACAGCTGGAGTATAACAGAGATAAAGCACTTGTTTTGGTGCCAGCTGACAGTCTGGGCTTGGATTGTTATACAGTGACAAAATATAAACACATAACCTTCTTTCACAAGCTGTATTCATATTACTATTTGATGTAAACACAAAACAAGGCTTGATAAAACTTGAGATTATGCTGAGTGAACTTTTTCCACAGACTAAACCTTAATTTTCAATAAAAAGCTCAATTTATTCAAACATGCTCTACAGATGGCTGTCAGCACATTTGTCTTTACTCTTCAATGCCATTTGCTCCTGCCTGTTGGCTTGTTGCTTATTGTACAGATGTTGCTAGAGGGACATATTTCTTAAAGAGTATTTGTAGTGTCTCAAGTAGCAGATGTTTCTTTGATGGCAAAGAAGTCACATGCATTTCCCCACACCTCAAAGTATAGTCTGCAACTTTAACAAGACATTCATAACATAAAATCAAAGTAACAAATTAGAGCTTCTGAGAGCCAACAGCCAGGGCTTGGTTTTTTTTTTCTTCAAGTGTTTACCCATAAATGAAATGAGAAACTCTAAGAGAAATACTTCCCTTCATGTAAAAAAATTACGTGTGAGTCTCCAGTCTTCTGTGCAGAAAAAGGACTGCAGGGCCATTCTGCCATCTACTGCATCATTCTTGAACCCATTCCAAGCAAGTGCTGTGGATTAGAAACTAAAATAGTGAACAGAAACAATCTTACATACAGCTAAGATAAAGTCAAAGCTCAAGTAGCTGCAACTGAGGAGCATTCCAGCTCCTCAGCATCCCATAGCAAGTCTTTATAAAACTCAATTGCACCAAATCTACATAAATCGAATTGTTCCCCTGTATGTATCTCAGAAGATACATATAGGTATCTATATGTATATATCTATAAGATACATAGGGAATGTGTTCAAAGGCCTTGTTTTGCACATGGAAACAGACACCAAAGCCTCTCCTAAAGCAACTCTCCATCTCATATGTGTGAGGCTAAGGAAAGAAAGAAAGAAAAAAACCAACTGGTGATTATTTCTCCATCCAACAAAATCACTGACAGTGTCTTTTCAGCACTGGAGTCCTCTAAGACGTCCTTTTTGCAAAGCCACATTGTGTTCAAAAGAAGCTTGTGTCAGAAGAGAACAGCCCATAATGCACAAGGAGGATTCAGCACGGAGGAAGGGCTTTAACACCCAGCTCAAACAAGGGTAAGGGCCAGCATAAAAGACACTTCCAAACAAAAGCATCCAGACACCCAAAGGCAATTACAGTTTTTTAAAATCAAGTTAACTTTTTTAATTATAAAAACTATTGCGATAAATCAGCTCACTGTTAAACAACACTTCCTTTAGACAGAAACAGACACCCAAAGGCAATTACAGTTTTTTAAAATCAAGTTAACTTTTTTTAATTATAAAAACTATTGCAATAAATCCGCTCACCATTAAACAACACTTTGTTTAGACAGAAAAACTTTCTCCAGACACACTAAGGAAGTTAGTTAGGCTCACAGCAGACAAATTTTTTAAACCTTATCAAGCATTTCCTCTTAATCTGGTTAGAAGATCTTTATGAATTCAAATTGAAGTTTCTGTCTCCCCATACAGTTAAGGAAGAACCTGATCAATAGAAGTTGATTTACCATTAAATACTATTCCCAATGCCAAGCAAATACATTATTACAATGTACAGTATTTGAAGACATAAAACCCACATGAATTCCGCCAACAATTCAAACAGCCCTTGCACTCACCACTAAATTACCTCTCAGCTCACAAGGATCCAAAACCATTAATAAACACAGATGTGAGCTGCACAGGAACTGTGATGACAAGTTACAACTGGCAAGTATGGCACATAAAAGAGCATATTTTGTAATAAGCAAGTAGGCCAGAAATGGCATATCATCAGTCAAACATGAACAATTAAAACTGAACTCCTTTCTGCTGCCAGCTTGGTAATACTAAGAGTAACTCCTTCAGCCAGGGGAGATAAGTGGCTCTCTGAGGTCACCCTGTTCATAAACATTTCAGGTGTGAGAGTTGAGGGAGACAGCTTCCACTCCTACACACCATCACACTTTGAAATGCTGCAGTGATTACACTGACAAGACAAAAGCAGAACACAACAGTGCTATTCTCATTTCCCAGCTTTCCATAGTCCAGATGAGAGCATGTGATGAACAAGACTAGCAGATAAAGGCCAGCAAGCATTCAGATTGCCAGGCCATCAGTCATGCCCACAGGGACTAGAAAACCAGGTCACTTTCAGGGCAGCTTATCCAAGGCAGCAGCAAACACACTTAACGAGGGCTGACTATCCAGTAAGGTAATTTAAATTAAACACTTTTCACTGCAGGCCAAGCTAATTCAAATCACTCTGTTTAAATACAGGCAGGCATAGAGTAATCACAGACAAACTAACAAATTATAAGTTTTAAAGAACTAAAATATTTTCATACATTCAAGGCATCAAGCATGACTTTCCAAGATGAAAGTTCAAAGAACATCCCAAAAGGATACATAAGTATTTCCCTCCTCACTGCAGGGTGCTTCAACTAGACCTTTGAAGGTCTCTTCCAAGCTAAGTTATTTTGGCTCTGCATCAACCTTGTAACACACCTGCATTACAGCACTACCGAGTCAGTACTCTGATCTAAACAATGGCACCTCTGTAATATGTTCACATGCTTCTTCCACAAGGAAACCAAAACCACACCAAAAGGAATAGAAAACTTGGATATCAAGCAACAGTTTCATGGAGAATTTAAACAGACCTCCACAATGCATTCAATGAAAACTAAAACCTTTGTTTTCACATCACATTTGTAAAAATCTAGGAGATCCCGTCTAGAAAATATCTAGTCTCTTTTCTGCAATTCACAACACTGAGTTTTTTTGAGGGAACAGCTACCAGGCAGCAAGTGTGTTTAATTTAGTATTTACCATTTAGTTATCCAAACGTTTTGCATTCCTGCTTCTCTTCTTGGAGGAGGAAAATTTTAATCCCGCTTTTTTCTCCCTCTCTAAGCCGCGCTGGCCCGCTGCGAAGCAGCCTCTCGAGTGCCGTCTCCGGGTACCGCACCCTCACAGCCCCGGGGCGGACGCTGCAGAGGGCGCTGCCCTCGGAACGCCTCCATAGCCGGAGGGGACGCTCCTGGCAGCTCAGAGGGAGACGAAGGGAGAGCGAGAGCCAGAACAGACCGGGAGCGGCGGCAGTCCCTGTCCGTCCGTCCCTCCCTCCCGTTCCGCCCCGTCAGCCGCCGCCGCGCCCTCAGCGCCTGAGGGCCGCGCGCCCCCGGCAGGTGGCAGCCCAGGCGCGCGCGAGGGCGGGCCGTGGGCGGGCGGGCGGGAGTGGCGCCAGCGATAGAAGGGCGTCAGGGAGCACCCTTAACGCAGGCGCGGTGGCCAAGTGGTAAGGCGTCGGTCTCGTAAACCGAAGATCACGGGTTCGAACCCCGTCCGTGCCTTGGCGGGTCCGCGCTGGCGGGAGCTCTCCCCCTCATTTTTAGGGGAAGGCGGAGCCCCGGCCCGGCGGCCGCAGCCGGGACCCTGCACGGAGCGTGCGGGCATGGCGGCTCCGCGGAGCTCCGGCTGCCCGAGGCAGCCCAGCGACAGTAGAGCCACGCCCCCGGGCGTGTCCCCGGCTCCCCCGAGCGCAGGTACCCAGCCACGGGTCTCGCAGCGGCGGCAGCGGCTCCTCCCGCTCCAGCAAAGGGTTTTGGTGAATGTCGTGCCAGCCCTGCCTCCTCCTCGGTCATTCCTGGCCATGCTGCAGCGGCTGCGTGACGGCCCTCCTGACATCTGCAGGAATAGAACAGTTTTTCTTCGTTTACTCTTGGAGCCTAATCCTGCTTTCAAGAGATCCTCAGCTCAGCCTGAAGAAACAAAACATGGTTTGAAATGTGAAAGGCCAAGGTGACTGCTGAGGCCCAGTGGAAGTCATGCCAAACGCCTTTTCTACACAGCACTATTGAGGCAAGTGCTGCTGCCTGCCTTATCATGCAGTCATTCCTGGGAGGAACAAGTGGAGCCTCTGCTGGGTCTTGTTTGAAGAGATCCTCCAGCTCCTTCAAATTCTTGTTTGAAGAGAGCCCTCTCCAGAGGCTGCAGCTATCAAAATCATCCTGTAATCCTCCAGGTCCCTTTCATTGGTTCACCCCCACCCTGCCACCATGTAATTAAGTATTTATTAATTTGGTTCTTTCTTCTGATTAGTAAACCATAAGGTTTCTTCATTGTATCACCAACCACTTAGAAGAATTATTTGCAATCTGATTAGTGTGTACTTTACATTTTCTATTTTCTAATAAAAAAAACCTCCCTGTGACACTGAAAATGGGTAAGGCAAGGGTGCAGTGGTTACACTCACAGGGGCCCAGCAGTGCTCCCCTTCTCCAGGTAAAACAAACACTGGGTGCTTTGCTGATCCAGCAGCACCCTAAGTGGCCGGGAGGTCCAACTCAGTGACCTGACGGGACCAGGCACCAAACCCGCCCACACAGTTAAGGGTTGACAGCACTGAAACACACACTAACAGTGTAAATAGGAAAAGAATTACTCATTGAAGGAAATCTTTATTGATTCATGTTTGACATTTACTTACCATTTGAAATTTTACTGACCACTATGTCCACACGATCAATTTTGTTCTCTGCCTGACAAATCTTCCTCTCATATTCTGCACCATTGTTGTCAGGAATATAAACTGTATATTTGTTGTATGAACAGAAATAAATGTCCTTAACTATTTACACTTTTTTGTAAATATTCTTAGATATTTTTACTTAGAGATACAAAGGACAGTGAGGTACATCCATGTCCCTGGAGGGACCCATAGGAGGGTTGTAAAAACTAAATGCAAAAAATCAAACTCAAGGACAAAGCACATATCTGATAAGTACTGCTTTTTGTTTACTACAGTCTCAGGGAGGGTGAAGATGAGCCACCTTGCCACTGATGAGTAAAGCTTTCATAAATTCATGCTTGTTTTTTAGAAATAATATATTTCTAGGACAAAGCCAGGTATGCATAAGAGCTGTGGCTGTGTCTCACCCTCTTAACAATGGTTTGAGGCCTGTGACCTGTGTTAGATGACACAGAAATCAGATAACACAAAGCCTGTTTTGCCACAGTTTGCAGACAGAACTTATATTTTGTTGAGTAACATTGCTGAACTTTTAGCATGATGAACAATGTTACTAAGTAACATTTCAAGACATGTCCTGTGGTTATCTATTGAAATTAATTTTGTAATTAGAAAACTATCTGTGCACTCAAAGCCTAGGAGAAACTTGTGCAGCCCGGAAACAGTTACTCCAGCAGCAGTTAAGAGGTAGAAATAATTAACATATCACACGGGGCTACTGCCACAATGGATTATGTTAAACCTTTTTTCAGTGTTGCTCTATTTGCCTTCAACTTTCTTCTTTTTAGACAACACAATACCCAAATTTAAAAATCTCTCCTTTTAGGCCAGGTTTTCTACACCTTTAATCACCTTTGCTACAATCCCCAGTCCTCTCCAGATGCTGCACATCACTGTTGAAGCGAGCAGCCAGCGAGGCTTCGCAGCAGCGCTCAGAGCGGGCATTTCCGCACAGCAGGGCTGCCGGGGAGCCGAGAGCCGAGCGGGAATGCGCATCGCACACGACGGCCCAGCGAAGGCCGGGCTGCCATCGCCACCGTGCCCAGAGGGGCTGGCCGGCTGCCATGGCACCACGGCACACGGCTCACCACGCTGAGCACTGACGGGCACACTCGGCCCTGTCCCCACACCAGACCGGGGGATGTGAAATTTAAACCCCAAACTTCCTCTGTGCCCACGCGCTTGGCAGCACCGCAGCTCCGGCTCCCAAGGGCGCTGGCAGCTCACTGTGGCACCCGGGCACAGCCGGGGGCCGGGGAATGCCAGGGCAGAATTTGTACTACAGTCATGTGAAATAAGTCCTCTCCATAATCCAGTTTCTATCATTACATAATTTAAAAAAAAAAAATCCCTTGCACTGTGCAGTGTTATTGGTGAATGCAAAAGGTGAAGCAAATTTAATTTTGTTTCATATTCTTTTTTTTTCTTTTTTTTTCTTTTTTTCACTATAACAGCCTCTTGCTGCCTTTTAAATTCAATTTTAGTTGTGACAACCAGTATGACCAACAGAGGACAGCACATCCATTTCTTTTAATCATTAAAAGATCCTGAGCTGGAAGCTGCCATTCACTTTTTCACTCAGGAAATGAGAGTGACAGGCAGAGTGGAGCAGTGTGCCATAAGTAAGCCAGCCAGATTAAAAAGGCCTTTTTGCAATTAACTAGAGCTGTTTTGAATTCCAGGAGATTACTTAAAGTAAATCTACTTCTAACCAGGCATTATTACTAACGAAACACTGTGGGTGCATGTCGGTGAAACCTGTGTCTGTATTTTGACACAATTGTTTACTGAGCGCTGCAATAACAGTTAAAACACACTTAGGAGTAAAAGCACACTCAGGAGTGTCAGGTGAACTCAGCTAATTCCCTTTCAAAGCTGCAGACAGACAAGGTGTCTGTAACCAAGTTTTGATTAAATGTGAGTGTTCATAAAACACTGAAGTGAAGCCAACTCTACTGTTTTTATTGCATTTGATTTGGGGGCAGAGAAGACTGCAAGTCATAATGAAATTCAAAGAACAAACTCAAGGATTTCATGTGGCTGAGGGGAATTTCATTAAGGAAATCCAATTAACCTGCAAGAGTTGCACACATTGAAATCTATTATCTTCTCCCAAAAGCTGGCTTTGTGGTTTTTATAGCAACCTTTGCCATTCCTGGATAAATAATGCTTTATTACAAATGCACTGACATCTTTATATAATTAAGATTATAATAACATCTTCTTTTTTTCTTTCTGCTTTGCAAACATTCAATTCTGCTTGCCACGAAACATATCAAATAGTGTTTTTAAAGAAGATATAAGTCAAGAAGTATTGGGTGTTAGACACTAGCACAAAGCAAACAGAGATTTAGGAGACACATGAGGAATAATGTGGCTCCTGACAGCGTGTGGGTCTGCGTTTGTCGGTCAGGGCCTGATCCTGTGAATTGCTGAACTGAATTAATTAAGAGCCTAAGATACCATTAAATCCACGGGGACTAACAGTGCTCAGCAGTACTCGGTGTTAAAGCCCTTAAATAAAAGCCAACCTACAAATTCCGATTCATGCAAGTAACAATATTGCACACATCTACAGTGGGGACATGAATTATTCACATCAGTGTAGCATGAAAGATGCAAACGGCAAAAGCCTGTTTAAAATAACACACAAACACTCAGTGTTCTGTGATATGTGGGAGGGTTATCATTTGGCCCGTTTTTCACTCATATGCATATTCCTTTTATTTGCTGTGTGCATAGGTATGATATGAGGATGTGGAGAAAATAAATACAGGAGATAGACATCTAATAAACATTATTAGAAAATGAGGAAAGGAGGTTACTGATTAGCATTCTTCCCATATAAAACTATTAGATTGTATCAGAGAAATGTGAGTTAAGTGTTTTACCGTTCTTTTTTTTAACCATTATCTGATCAGAGAAGCATGAAAAGCACTTTATTGCCTTTTTTTTTATCCCTGTGCCAGGAGCCCTCTGCAGGAAGTGAAGCTGAATTTCACAAATCTTCCCTTTCTGACGTCTCCCGAATTTCTAGGAATACCCCTTCCCTGCTACTATATTTGGTGGTAGTTTCTAGGAAAAAAAATAATTTTCGGACGATCTTGGACTCACCACACCTCCTCGCAGAGGACTGTGCGCCCCGGGTCTCCTGGCACGGCCCCCGCGGAGTTGAGGAGCTCACGGCTGGGGCTCACAACTCCCGGCGCAGACTGCACGTCTTTGTAGCACTGTTGGAGGAATGAGCATGGAGAAGGAGTGGGAAGGGGAGAGGTGTCTTTGTGGTAACAATGAGTGAATCTTCTCTAGTTTTTTGGGGTTTTTTTCCCTGGCTCCTGCTCTTTGGTTTTTTGGGTTTTTTTGGTTTTTTTTGTTTTTTTTTTTTTTTTTTTGGTTTTTGGGCTTTTTTTTTTTTTTTTCCCCCTGGCCTTTTTTTTTTTCCTTTTTTTCAAGGAAGAGGATCTTAATGAAAGAAAAAAAAACCCTCTGGGATTTTTTTTCCTCTCCGCTTCCCCCCTCTCCCCCTCCCCTTGATGTGGCCTCTTGTTTAGCTTGTGGCGTGACCGTGATGAAGAAATGTTTCAGGGCGCCTGGCAGAGTGATCTTTTTATGTAATGAGTCAGGATTTTGCCAACGGAAGGAGCCGGCTTGGAGCGAGGACCGGAGGGCTGTCTCCTTTCAAGAACGGGGACCTGCCCGGCGAGCGGCTGCCTGTGCGCGGGATCCCCGCTCGCTGCGGGCGCTGATCCATTCCCGGTCCCGGCTCTCCGGGGCACCGCCGCGGGCACTGACAAGTGGTGAGTTGCGCTCTCCCTCCGCGCTCCCGCTCCGCGCCGCCGGCCCGCCCGCGGGGAGCGGCGCGGCCCCGCGACGTCCCCGCACCCTCGGGAGCTACAGGTGCCCGCTCCCCGCGGGGCCCGCTCCCCACGGGGCCCGCTCCCCGCGGTGTCCGGCCACCGGCCCCGTCCCGCTGCCTCCGCGTGGCTTCTGCGGCGACTTTCGTCAGGCACAAATAACTACAAATGCGCGTGCGAACCGTCTGATCAGGTCGTGTGCAAGCCAGAAAAACCTCCTAAATCATCACAGCGTAATGTGTGATTAATAAATCACACGTAAATAAGTCAGTTAAAATGTACGGTCTGTAGAAAGAGGAATTATTTAAACATTTCTACTTAGCCAGAATTTCCATCAACTTCTCTGCGTTTTCCTTTCAGGATGTATTTGGGGATTATAAGGCAGTTCAGCTAGGACAGCATTCTTCAGCTGCGCATTTTGATTATCAAAAGTAGAATGAATGTAATAGTGGCTTTTCAAGGACAGCAATTACTATCTTTTAAAGTAACTGACAGCATTAACCTACTTCAGCCATCCAAGTGTAAACTAAAATGTTTTTTAAAATGGATTTTACATAGAAGCTCTGTTGGAATTATAAAGTGAAGATTTTGAATATATGTTCCTTTAGTCTGTGAATTTCTACTTTTCCTCTCATCTTTGAAGGATTTTATGAAACATGATATTGAGGGTAGTAAGATGCTGATGTAGAGCTGAATACTTGAGACTGTAATTGTTAGTAGGAAGAGACCTGTTTTCAAGTAAAGTGAAAATAATTTGTAGTTTATTGTACAAATAACAAATTTAGAAAAATGACAGATATTTCTCTATAATGTGTCAACTTTAGTCTGAAATACAGTGAAACAGATAAATAATAACTTGTTATATACTTTGAGAAGAAATCTTAGGTATTTTGAGTGCTGGGTCTAATAACTTATTCTGTGTCATTTTATAGACACTTAGAAAAGGTGCTTCTTACCTCCTTGATAAATAGTTCATAAAATATTAATAAAATCAATTAATATCTGTTAGCAATTCCTGCTGTCCAGAAAATGAAGGAGGATGTATTGTGACTGGGCTATAACGTTCTCTTTTGATTAGTCTGAAAATTACCCACTCCATAAGCAATGACTCTGTTGATTTGGCATATCTGACAAAGATACTTTACTTACAAATTGAATCTTGGAAGGCTGTGGTTCCAGAGTCGGGGTTTTGGGGGCGAGATGAGCTTATGTTTTATCCAACTGGCCCACAAAGTCCCGCTTTTGGTGGTCACTTTGTTCTGCAAAAGAAAACAGCACATTATGGCTCTTACACTGGACAGTAAACTTAGTAGTAAACTTCTGCTGCACTTAGTAAAGGGCTATTATGCACTTTAAATAAATAATCATGTTCTAGCTTTAATGTTGTCTTCAGCAATAAAAAAGTGGATAGAAAATAAAATAATTCTGAAAGTTAAACTGAGAAGTTTTCTAACTTGGTGGTGTTTTCCTCTTAAAAAAAACAGCAAAAGCTGAAGAAAAAGTCACCTTTCAAAGGGTGGTCATGCAATACAGGTGAATTGGGAGAAAAGACGGTTCCCAGAAAAGAGAGGCAGTTTAAACCTTGAAAAAAATCTTTTAAACCCTGGTAGCATTTGTATTGTCAATCCCTGCCTCTTTTTTTTTGTTCACAACATATTCATTATAACGTATCTCTTGAACGTTCCTTTCTGTGTGTCTGTGTGTGTCCACATGTGCATGGTCTTTATCTGGATTCAGTTTAAAGACTGCTGATTTTTGTACTGGTAAAAGTTGTGGAATATATTATTGTGAGTAAGGCAGGGTAAACCTGTTTAAGTTCATGTTACTATTTACATTTTGGTATCAATATCCTGAAGAATTGAAGTATTATTTTTACTTAAAAGTTACATAGCTGTACTTTCCTCATGGGATTCTAGAAGGTGTTGAAAACACTGGTAGAGGTACTGAACTTTCTCATGGTTCCAACTATCCTGCACAGATACTTAACAGTGAATGAACACATGATACAAATTGTAATTTTTACAATGTTTCAGCATATTCACATAACATATATGCGGGAGCTCAGCTGGTGTAAAGCTAGTTTAGGTAGGTCTGGCATAGTTTTGACATTTAATGCCAGCTAATCAATCACCTGCTTAAGCTACACATAAACATCCAGACATTCACATTGTGATCACATTGTCACTGCAGTCAGGTTAATTTTAAGAGTTGACCTATACAGACTGAATCAATTTGACTATTTCAAAAAGGCCTGGAAATTCAGCTGAAGTGAGACAGTGATGCACTGTGAAAGCAAAGTTGTTGGCATGTGATTTATCTGATGACTACATGCAGGATCTGTACATTTATGCAAATGAATATCAGGATGAGTTATCGAGATTTTTCTATAGAATTCTCACATTTTACATTTTTTAGCAATATAATTGCAACAAAAGTGAAATAGGATGTATCCAAACATCAGTGCAACAAATTCCTCACTTGTTTAAGACTGAAATCTGATTTGGAGGAGCTTAGATTAAATAATAACTGTGGTGCTAATATGCTTTTTAGTTACTATTTTCCATGAAAATAATGCTGTTCAGAAGCAGCATTTATGAAAGATTAAATTTTCATAAGCCAATTAAGTTAAAAATGTAACTGTAGAAATTTTTTGTTTTTGACTTATACTAGAGTAAATTAGTACTTAGTTTGTGAATACATTCCAGACTTGTCCAATATTCCTAGTTGTCAGATTTGGATTGGTTTAATTCCTGTGGTTGCTTCTCTAGTATTCTGAGAATGTAAGAGCAGAGAATCAGAGATGAGAAAGTGGATCAATGTGAGGATCTTGCTTTAAGGGAAAAGAGAAACATATCCAAACATCAGCAAAGATCAGCTCTGCTCTGCTGAAATACCACAGTTGCTTCTTACCAACTGTTACTTAAAAGCTCTTAAATTAAAACGTAATTTTGTGCAGCTGCTTCCAGTAAGATGTAAAGATCACACTTTGTTAATCGTCTATTTTTAGATTATTTTTTAAAATAGATTCTATCTGGCTCTCTACTGAGGATATATAAAATTCACTTGCATTGCTTCTAGCACCAATAACCTAGCTATAGAATTAATACACTACTTAAATGATTAATGAGCAGTGTTAAAGACCACAGTTACGCTTCTGTAGGCCTCCCTCATACAATATTTTTATTCACATTTTTTCCCATCAATAAGCTTACAGAAAGAGCTCCTGTTTGTCTCTGGTGTGCAGTAGAACCAACAGCACATACATAACCAACAGCAGCATCTATATCTGCTGCTATAGATATCATGTGTATATTTTAATCTTTAAATGTATGTTCATTTTGTATGTTTTACTTAAATTAATGATGATTAGACAAAACATTGATAGATTTTCTAAACATCTGTGTTATAAAAATTTGATCTCTTTCCCTCACACTGGTTTTCCCAGCAGGTTTGCGTGCAGCTTGGGGTGCTGGCCTCAGAGCTGAGACTCCTGAAGTGCACTGTGTATCCACAGTATTAATAATTAAATATCTGGGATCAATCTATCTTGGTATTTGATATGAAAAAAAGAAATTTACAGAAGATAAAAAGTAGATGGTCTGTTTGTAATAAAAATCAAAATTTTCTTCAGATAAAAATGTAATTAATTATTGAAATAAAAATATTTAGAAATATCAACCCCAATTATTTATTACATTTATAATTTACAAAATTGAATGTCCTACTAGCTATCTTTCTATTTAGAATAAATTTAAAACTACATTTTTAGAATGACTTTTCTACATTTTTAAGCAAACCTTTAAAAAACCAGCTCACAAACACACTGAATCAGCAGAGGATTACTAAATGACCTAATCTGTTTACTTTTGAAATTTTATTGAAAGCAGTGAAAAGATCAGGATCTCCACCAGATCCTGTGGCATGGTTTGGAGGTTGCTCTGGGGCCTGTGTTTTCTGAAGCAAGGCCTCAACCTTTGACACCTCCTGATCCCGTGTTGCAACAGAAAAGTTTTGTGACTCCCCTCTGATCCAGCCACAGAAAAAGAGACGGAGAGATAACGACCCCAAGTTTGGAAACTCATGACCTGGAACAATTAAAATTTTGCCTTACTAAAGGCTACAGAATCAGTTGTCCTTTCCTAGGAAGTTATCCAGAGTTTTCCAGGGCAAGAACACAGACCCTCAAGGTCTGGTTTTCAAACTGTGCCTTGTTCTTTGCTCCCTGCTGCAGTGTTACACACCAGCACTGCTTCCCTGTGGAGAACCTGGACCTCATGCCACAAGAAAGGTCTATGCAAACACAAACCAGTCTGTTCAGGCATATTTTCTAAAGACATCACTCAGAAGATAATTTTACCTGCCCTGGAAATTGTATTTAGAAGCCTATGTAGCAAAAACAAAACAAAGTGGACTTTTGTAGATGGGTTTAAAAGATTTGGGGAATCACCTGGAAGCTGCACCTGTAGTGGAAGACATGGTAGAAAAGTGGTTCACACCACGTGGCTTGAGCTTCTGGTGGAATCAATGAATTTAAAGCATCATTTGCCCAATTCACAGTGCACATCAGTTAATAACTACACTAATCCCTTGCTGCAATGCCATATGCTATTCTCAGTCAAACAGTGCAAACATGTAGAGAATTTGGTAAAGGTATAAACATGGAAAAAAGAAACAAAGAATCAGTGGGTTTTGCCTGTTGTCAAAATGCCCAAATAGTTCCTGTTTGCAAGGTTTGGGGGCAAGGGCATTGATTCTGTATTCCAGTGTGAATGGATAGGCTTTATTCAGCTTGGGAATTTTTTTCAGGACCTTTCTTACAACACCTACAGAGTAAATAAAGATAATATCAACAGCAATAAAGGCCCATGCATTAGTAAGGTAACTGGCTTTGTGAGGTAGCTGGCAGGACTACATGTTAGCAGTTGGTTCCAGGAGCTTTCCCCTGATCTCTGATTCCCTGTTGGATACAAGGCTCTGGAATTACCAACACTTTTTTTTAATATTGGAATCGTACTTCTCTGCACATAGGCTCCAGGGTTTTGTTGGGTTTTTTTCCTGTTTGGAGCATACCTACTCCTAGCTCATCTCAAAAGAAGTCTTAAAAATTTGAGTCCTATGTGATTTCCTAGTATGCTGAATACTTACATTCTTAATATAAATGAAAAACTTTTAAACAAAACTATTTTGATATTTTCAGTTACTACTGTTAATTTTAATTTAGCTGTTATTGGGGGAGACTACAATTCAACAGTATAAAATAGTATTGATGCATTTTTGCTATTTGAAATATCTCAGCTTCAGTCAGACAGTCCAAATCTTTTACTGCAATCATGGCCTTTCTATATGAATAAATACAAAATAGTATCTAGACTATTAAAAAAATCACTAATTTTTAAAGTAAAGATTTTCATTTGTAGGTCAGGACAAGAATTAAAACAGAACACCCCTTCTTCCCCCCCCCCCCCCCCCCCCAAAAAAAAAAAAAAAAAAGTGTTTTGTCATCTACAAGGCATGTATTGGCAAGGCAAGGTTGTAGGACAAGATGAGAAAAATAATTTCAGGATGTTTCAGGACTGGCCTGAAACATCATGCATCAGGAAAAATTAAGTGAATGCAGTAATTCACTTAATTGAAAGGGCATTTCTAGATGTTACACATTGCTGCTGTTAAAAATTTCTGGTTTATGGTCAGCAAAATCTGGCTTTCTGCTTTGATGCTGCTGCTGTTTGTATTAAAGCTTTTTTTTGTAATCAAAGGCCTATTTAAAATCACACAAAGCACACACACCTCTGTCAGTAGGTGCCTGGATGCTGCTCTAAGTCAGAAGTATCTCCACTGAATTCACTGGATTTACATCCATAAGAAATGCAAGTGAGATCATGTTTAAATTTCTGGAACCTGAGAAAATAATTTATTTAATTTTTCATATTTTAGCATGATCAAAGGGCAAATGTATTACCCAGAACATAATATTAAATAACCTGAAAAATTGCTTTTTTTCCAACAATATTTTTGTTATATTTTATGCTTTGTACTAAAAGAATCTGTGAAGTACATGCCTGTTAGATGCTACTCAGTGTGGATTGTTTTAAAATAGTAAATTTTCATTTGGCATGGCAATTGAATGGGCATAACTTAAAGTTCAAATGTGCTACCTGTTTTACTAATGATATTTATAAACATGGATAATTCAGCCTACTAAATTTGGATTCCACTTTGTATTTTCACTCTGACTGGTCCTTCTGTATGTATGGAAAACTGCCCAGACTGTTAATTGGAAAATATAGTAAAATTGTTTAAAATGAAAGATGTTCTATAATTCTATTATGTATAATTTTCTCCTGTAAAGTGATGTTCACTCTGTCACTGAAGTATCCTTAAAAATGAGAAATGCAGGTCAACAGTTAATTATGGTTATCCTGGGGTTTTGTTTTGTTTTTTGGTTTTTTTCTTTTGGAGAGCTGAAAGAAGAAAAATTGTCCTGTATTGTCTGGGCTTCATGCAAAATGTATTTTGCTTCCCAATAATAGTATTTCTAAGATAGCTGCCTCAAAATTAAGTCTGTTGCATGGATAGAACCATTTTCTATATCCAGAGCTAATGAATTAGAGGATCCTTGAAAAACTGCAGTTTTACTATCCAGTGGACTAACAGAAAATGATGAAATCATGAGGTATTGTTGAAAAGTTGTTCTAACTTAAAAATCTTTTCTTTATAGTTTCATTCTTGATGTTCCACAGCATTCACCACATCCTGCATGGCTTTTAACCGCAGGGAAAATGAGGGACTTTTGGGGGCAGATGTGTTTCCATTACACTATCATAATGCCCCTAAAAATCCTTATTGCTCTTGCAGTATTCTTCTGTATTGCTGGGCCTGGTGAGAACTACTTGAAGACCTAGCTTATAAATACAGCTTTTCTCTAAAAACACTTTAAAAACACCACTGAGTTTTATTTTGTTTGTCTTATATTATTTTTAGTTGTGTTTACTGTTGCTTAAAATATAAATGGCAAGATGTGCAACCACCTGTTGGTAAATAAATGTCATAAGTCATAAATCCAAGAGACATGCTGATAACTGCATGGGATTATGAAGAGGGGTCTGGTTTGGCTTAAGAGTGAGAGCTTAATTTTTTTGGTACAACTAACTTGTTTTTTACATAAGAATTTAGCATTTTGTATCTAAAAATATGACAGATATTTTGCAAGCTAACTCAAATGACTGCTGTAAGTGAGCCAATGCTTTTGGAAACACACATCAGGCCATTTATCAAATTCATAGATCAGTACATTTATTTAAATGCACCAAAATATTAAAATCATGGTTTTATACAGTCTCAAAATAAAATGATGATTATACCTGAAGAAGACATTGTGGGTTGTCAGGTATTCTATGCTCACTCAACTCAGAAGGTCTTTGTGTGGCCATACCTCTTGCTGAGGCTTCTGAGGAAGTCACAGTCCATTGGGAATGCAGTCCTGCCCTGTGGCTCCTCCCATGAAGGGAGAGATGGCCAGGGATCTCCCAGGCACAGTTTATTCCTGCTGGGTGGCAGGTTCCCTGGAGCCTGCAGTCTTACAGTTCTGGAAGGAGAAGGCAGAACATACACATGTAAACATGGTTTGTTGTTGTCTTGGTCTTGCAGAGCAATACATCATCAGTTTGACATGTGCAGTGCTGGTAACATTTATTTCAGTAGCTGAGTGTGGGGCACACACAATACTGTCACTGCTTTGTGTTAAATGTACTCTTGACTTCACTGACTCGCTTAACAGAAATTATAGATGGTGTTGTATGGTCCCTCTGACAGGGTCTGCTAATATCTTTAAATACCCTTCAAAATATTTGGTGACACAGAAAAGAAACTAACTGGGTGGATTCACCATAGCAGTTTAATATAAAAGTTTAATCTCCAGGGAGATGCTTTTCTTCATTCTGCTGTAGGAATGGGTCTTATTTTTCACACAGCAAAATCTTACAGGTCAAGTCACGTCCTACAGGTCACAAAGCAGGCTTGCTGATACGACTGAGGCTCAGAACTTGTGCTGCGCAGAGAAATAGTACAGTAACAAGAAAACTCCTTTCTGGAAGGACAGAATGAGCAGTGTTGAACAATTTTGTATTCACAGGTCAAAAGGCTGGAATATGTCCTTCAACATAAAACACTGCAAGATGCAACAGCATTTCAAATTAATGTATAGACAGAGAAGAGAAAACAGTCATTACATTAATTTGAAATTTTCATATCAATATTTCAGTGCTCCTATTTGGACTACTGATCACAAGATGATCCCTAGCACCTTCTGACATAAATGGAAGGTATAACACAGACTGGCTTGAGGCTTATCCAGCCTTTATAATTACAGTTACATACAAGGTATGAAACCAATAGAGCTATTAATATTAGTCATAGAAGTTTGTTGCATGTTTTTATTCTAAACATGCCAAGTACCAAGGTGTATGTTCAGCATTCTTTTTATTTCCAAGTGACACTCGTAGACTCTGCATCTAATAGAAATTTTTTTTTAAAAAAGCACACAACAGCAAATAGCATATAACTGTCATTTTGTTTTACACATTTTTATCACTGAAGAATAAGCATTAGAAAATGAGAGTCAAGCATAAAGTTTGAGATGTGTACTTAATTTTTTAATTCAAATACTTGCCTCAAATTGTTTAAGTATTTAAATAATTTTGGTGTGAAACAGTATGTCACAAATATCTTTGGATATGATATAGCCTCAGAGGAAGGACTGCAAAACTCATCTGTAAAACTGTCCACTGCAGCTAACAGCACATTGGGAATAGGCTGTAAGTAGGTTTCAGTGTCAAACATTTTGTAAAAGATAATATTTTTTCTCTGTCTTCTTAAATATTAGCAAAGCACAAATTTCTATTAGCCTCTTCTTAGAGATTTTAGTTTCTTTTAATTATAGGGCCAAGAGACATTAACCGAAACAAACAAATTGCTCTAAAACCTAGAACAGTAGCAAGTAGGTAATTTTTCAAATAGAATTTCCACAGTGGAAAAGATATTAGTGTATTTGTTATATGCCAAGAAATGAGTAATATGAGAATATTTTGATTCTTTTACGAAATGGAAGAGCATTAACAGCATTTTAGTTTTTTATTTTATATAAAATTCGTGATTACCAACAGTCTCCTAATAGAGAAACAAAAATAGAAGAAAGGACATGCAAAGGACATTACCAAATTAAGAGAATGTCAGTTCTGTTCCAGCCCATTCTGAGGGGTCCCTGTGCAGCTCCTGTGCTGTCACCTGTGGGGAGGTGACCCCAGAGCCAGGCTTTGAGCACAGGCAGCAGCTCCGGGCTGTGGCACAAGGACGCTGCTCAGGAAAGCTCAGATAAAGCCACCTCATTCCACAGTGGGCTAGAGAAAGAGGTGGGAAAGGGAAGCATTGTAGCAAAGGGAGTAGCAACTACAAGAGAGAAACCACTACTCACATGCTGTAAATAAGTCTATAGAATAAATACAGAATGTAGAATATATATAAAATATAGAATAAAGCAGCAGAATGTGGCCAGAAGTAAAGGGGAAGGAAGGATTCATCACAGCCTGCAATGGAGCTTTTCATTGAATGCTTAGTTATGGGAGCAGAAGTGCATACAATAATAAGCTCCAGGAATAAATGGTCACTACTGCATTTCTCAATTATATTGAACTGTTTCAGACTTTGTTAATTTGTTGCTATTTGTGGCTGATTAAATATGTGTAAATGCTTTTATTTTTCCTTAACTTTTGAGTGTATACAATTTTATTCCCATATTTAAATAATTAGTGCCAAGATTCTGACTAAAGCGGATCTTTATCATTGCATTATCAACAAGTGCAAATGTCAGTTATGAAGTCCATGGCTGACATAATTTCAGCTATAGCTGGAAAAAAAGTGTGTACATACACTTTAGCAACACAAGGAATCAATGAAAGGGAATAAAAATCATTAAAAGAAACAACATATTTTATAATAATACTTTCATCAAGATATGACCTATTTTATACTTAAGAAATTAAAATAGAGGCTGAAATGTTTGGAGATGATGAATTTATTCAGTAGTTAGACTAAACAGGTGAGATTACCCAATAAATAATTTTCTGAAAAACTGGAATTCTTAACCAGAATTAGTTTTGTTGACTACTGGGGCTTGGGTTGTTCTTTTTTTAAGGAGAAGCCACTTCAAGATTTTCCTTACTTTTCCAATGACAGATTGTATTTTGTATATTCCTTTAAAAACAAAATCTACAGCCTTGCTGTGACTACCATCTGAGAGTTTTGGAGATCTCAGCTGTGAGAACAATGTAAATACCAAACAAGATTGTAGCAGGTTAATTTTTATTCAGAGGAAGCAGTAAGATCTTCCTGTATAAATCCAGGGAATCTGTGCTAGTCCTTTTTGAAGTGCTGACCTAATCCATAACAAAATTATCCCATGACTGCAGTTGGCAATATTGAGAACTGAGTGAGCCCACAAGATTCCCGAACTGTAGTCTGAATCAAATGTGGACTTTGTGATATAATCTGGGCTCATACTCAAATAGTCTAGCTTCAGTATTTTGATAATTCTTATAAAATCTTATTTTATGGATTTATTCTAACTTGTACGAGAATGTCACCATTTTATTCTTTTAAGACTCTGTGTGTGTCTAAAACCAAAAGGAAACAAATCCCTTCTTCAAACCTACTTGAAATGAAAACATATCCAGAGTTCTGCTTCCAGTCTGAGCATCGGGAGGTGAATGTTTCAGCAGGAGGTCCTGGATTCAAGGTCTAGGCCCTGATTTGCCCTCTGGCCAGTGACAGGGAGGTGCCAAATGCCCTGCCTGGAGCCCAGGTGAGGTCAGGTGGCATGTGCCAGCACTTCACCTGTCAGAAGGAGCAATACAGCTGTCACCCAATTCCAGAATGTGTTTTGGTCTGGAATATCGGCTCTGGTCTTAAACACTGTATCTTTCTGTACCAGCTCCATTCCTACCTCCTCCTTTCCAGATTATCTAGTCAATAAACAGAAAGTTCCAAGAAGTGAAAAAACACACCCAAAAGCAGAGGTAGGTACAGAGCCACAGCTGCAATTTCCTGATAAGAGCCTTGCAAACATCCCGGAGGGGGCTGTGTGAGTGGAAAAATGACACCAATTAGGCTGCTCTGGCCTCTGCATTTTCAGGTAAAGCAGGACCCGGCCATGCCTGCAGTGTCCCAAAGGCCACCTTTAACCAGGCAGTCACACCACAGTGTGCAGGCAGTGTCCCAAAGGCCACCTTTAGCAGGCAGTCACACCGCAGTGTGCCGGCAGTGTCCCCCCAAAGGCCACCTTTAGCAGGCTGTCACAGGACCCCGCAGAGCCGGCCCGGGGCCTGGGGCACCCCGGTCCCCCTGCGGGGCCGCCCTGCGCCTCTGTCCTTTGTGCTGCAGCTGCGGCTGCTCAGCAGGCACAGCGCGCTGCACTTCTGTCGCTGCTATTTTAGCATTTCACTGATTTTTTCTCAGATGTCACCCACAAGATAGCAAGAGATGGTGAACTGCTACATCTTGAGTTTCATCTCAACCAACTCCCAAAGAGAATTTCCTTTATAACTGTTAATAATGGAACTGAAAAACTGCCTACAACTCTGGTTGGCAAACAAAACAGTCATGCTTTAATGACACAGTTTTAACTGATTTCTCTAGGAGTTAATACCAGCAGAGTATTTATATATTATAAGAGTATATTATTATATATTATTCTTTATAATACTTATATATACTTTTTAATATATATATATATACACTCTTTATTATATAAAGAGTATTCTATATTATATATATCCTCGAATAGCAAATCCACAGAGTATATTACAATTCCTGTAATAGCAAGTTTTATCTCATTGCACCAAAAAAAAACCCCCAAAAAACCCTTTCTAATGAAGCATGATATTGGGTAGTATTGACATTATTATATATTTTCATCTTTTTATGGAGAACAGAAGAATATATTTTCCTATTCTGCCTACAGAACACTTGAAGATAATTAAGTATTTTATGCTAAAGGACCAGCGTATTGCAGTATTACAGCAGAAACACTGAGTTTTAGATATATTTGGGAGACAGGGACTTTGTTTCTGTTCTGTATGATGATTCTGCATCTCCCAGTCCTGATGTATCCATTTAACACTCAGGTGTTAAAAGGTTGGAAAGAACAAATAATAAATTCAAGGTGCTGTACCTGATTTTGGAATATTTTTTAGGATGTAAATAATTATTGCCAATCTTTAGCATCAGGAATACAGAAAAATTTGGGCTGAGAAAAGGCATGGGAACAAAAAAATAGAAGAGTAAAGCAAAGTTTCTAGACTTCAGGCCACTTGCCAGCTGCTCCTTACAACAACTTTCAATTCTGCTTCTTGCTTTGACTGTAGCAAAAAGATAAACATTTCCTTGTTGCAAGTTAACAAACACAGCCATGCGTGACAATTTGATAAGGGGTATTATGAGTTGTATCAGGAGTTTATTAGTTCATTTGAGCAAGAGATAAACATGGTAGAAAGTTCTGATGTGCTGCTGAAAAATGAAAAATGACTGGTCAATGCCAAAACCAGTTCTGCTGAAGAAAGGGTTTCTATTCTTAGTGACTGGAGCTTTCATTGCTACAGACAATTTTTCTTTCTGTTTGTAGTAAATTCCTCAATGTGTCTGCCTCCTTTGTAAACTTACACCACTGCTCTGTGGGTCTGTATTTTCAGGTGGTACAGATATAGCAGTCTGAATTCTACACTCACAAGAAAATCTGTTAAAGTCATGGCACAACAGGCAGAATTTGGTTTAGTGATGTAGTCTTTTCTGCTTGTGTCTTTTCAAATTAGCTGTAGATGTTGAGATCTTGTCTCCACGTTTTTGTCTGTTGTAGTTATTGAAAATTAAATACAGTGTATTAAAGTATTCTTTGATTTAGCACTTGCCTAATTCTTGCCTGATTATTTTTCTGATGTAGGCATACATGCCTTACAACAAACTGATAGTGTTTGACTCTTGATGTTCTCACCAAATCTGTATTTGAACTAAGATCTGCCAAAACAAATATTAAAAATCCTGCCATACATCCCAAATGGCACTTTTAGTTTCCTTTTTGTAAGGCAATGCAGTATAATATAAACAAGGAGAAACCAAGAGATAACACAGCAATGTAGGATCAGAGTTTACTGGCAAAACCTGGATGTGGGTATATTAATCACAGATGATAAAAACATAAGCAAAAAGGACTTCCTAGATTGCAGGAAGAGATCCTACACTGTAATGACTTTTTTGTATCATTTATTTTATTGAACAATTATTTTAGGAAATTTTTGGGGTTTTTTCCCTTACAGAAGTAACCATACTATTCTATAGTCCCTTTCCCCCACTAAGACAGACTTTAAGGCAGTGTTGACATTTGTGGTATGCCAATTTTTATGGCTCTAGAGAAATAATAATAACACATCTAGGAGAAAATTCTGACATTTTGTCTGGCAAATGTTGTTACACTTTGTCAAAGGCATAAGAACTTATTTTAATATCCTGTCTCACAATATGGGGTAAAAGGGACAAGAAAATTAGGATAAGATCAAATGTACACGTTAGCAAGATGTGATCAGTGACCAGTCAGGTAATATTTTCAGTTATTTCCATGACTTCAATGATTCCCAGATGCTTGAAGTAGGGCAAGGGTAAGGACTAGGAACTTCTGGATTTGATGGTTGCTTGGCACTGTGGAATGTAGGTACCTTTGCCCATTGTATAAGAACTGTGTCCTTTGCCTTGGCTTCCCACTGGGAGCTCATGACTGAATACACTGACAGTCTTCTAGGACTTCCTCCTCCTTGACTGAGGGCACAGTCATGGGAGATGCGTGTGCAGGATGTTTATGGGAAAGAATAAAAAGTTTTACAGCAACTGAATGCTTATGACAGTGTCACACATGCAGATATTTGGTGAAAGTAAACACACTCCTGTCTGTTTTGAAGGAGAAAGAGCAAGGGCTTTTCCCCCCTCTGTTTCTCTGTTTTCTTAGACACTAAATCACATTCTGCTAAAAGGCAGACATTGTTTACGTGCAGATGCTTGGCTTTCTTGAAAATATTAAATTTTCTTGGTAGCATATTAATTCACCATATTAATATTAGTCAACTAGGGGTTACTATTTTTGAAGTTGAGCTACTCTGAGGCTAATAGCACAGAAGTATTGCTATTGGCATGTTAGATACTTTCAATTTACTAAATAAGTTCAATAATTTAATTAATTGGTTTTCACTCAGTTATTTATGGAACTCACATATTTAGTGGCTTATTCTGGCTTCCTCTGATTCTCCAGTCTAGAATTTTAAAACTTAGACAACAGACCAGACAGTGATATACATGTAAATTCAGGGGTGGGATATTACCTTTATAAAACAGGGCACTAAAATTAGAGATCTCTTGATACAGGAGACAGTTCCACTATTAAAAAACTGGTGCTAAGAGCAGTTCTAAGATTCAGAATGTGAGCAGTCTGAGAAGAAGGTCTGTAATGTGTACATTTCAGTTTAAGTCTTTTGTGAAGTTAAAAGCTTCTTGCAGTGCAATGAAATTCCTCCAAAGGGTGTGTTATTTAACAGCAGTAGATGTTTGTGTCGTGACAATCAGCAGATATCTGTTTTGTCAGTCTGTATTGTGATAATCAGCAGGTAACACATCTTATGAAACTACTGTACCTTGACTGTGGCATGAAGAAAGCAGGATACTAATGGATCGTTATGGGAATTTATGCAGGCCTGCATCATAAGTAGCAGGCTGTGAGAATGCAGGAATAAGGAGAAATGTCCCAGATGAGCTGAGTGGCTGCCTACAGGAGCATCACACTGCTTAAAGAATGAACAGTCTTTCAGCTTCACACCAACTTAGCTGAGGGTATTTCCTAAGATGAATAGATCATATATGGCAAGCACAGAAAAAGACAGATAGATTTGTCTTCTGAAGTTTAAGAACATTTTGCTTAGCCTGTGCTGTAAGGAGCTAATAAAATGAAGATAAAATGGAAGAGAATATTGTTTGATAATATTTGTCTTAGATTGGGTCTGACAGATTCAATGTTTAGGGTAGAATAAAGCACATATATCATAAAAGATCACTTATCTAGCACTTTAGACTTATTTTCCTGTCTAAAGCAGATTTTTTTTACTTTTTAAATCAGGTTCTGTTACATTAGGTTGGGTGTCACACCTCATTGCAAAAGTAATCTACAAAGGCACTTCAAGAACCCCTTCATTTAAAACAATAGGCCAGCAGGGGATTTTTTTTGTTTATTTGTTTATTTTTTTGGAGGATGCATATTGGAAGCATTCTGAAACTCCTCCTTTCAGTATGTGTTGTAGGGAATTTGGAGGAGGGGAAACTGTTCTGAAGTAATGGCTCTTAGGTGGTGCACCAGGAGCACTGCACAGGAATTCATCCCAACAAGCTCTGATGTTTATCTCTGCTCAGATATGCACCTCATCTGCTCTTACATCATGTATTCCAGTTGTGATTAGAATTACATAGAGTTCCTTCTGAATTTTAAAAATAATATAGTATGAGTTAGGAATCCTCACAGACTATTATGAAATAGACATAATTGCAATATATAAATCTTGCAATATATAAATTGCAAGAAATAAATAGCACCTTTGATGCAAAGGTGCTATTTAGTTGTACTTGTAGCCTTATTCACCTTGTACAACCCCAAATATAATTTGATCTTCTGCATTTAAAACTGTACATTTCCGTACTGAAATTGTTTTAATAAGATATGTGTTAGTTAGGCATTGCTAAACACATATTATGTTCCTGAGTAATAGTTCAGTATTTATTACTGCAGTAAAAGAGCTCCAAGACACAAGAATGGGATAGCAAAAAGAGGATCTTCCCAAATCCATGCAACCCAAGTACTGTCAGAATCATTCTCTAAGTATGTGCTGCTTCAGTATGTGGTTTTTAATCATTAAAAAGTGCAGTCTTTTGTAACTTGAAGATAAGGACTTTAATGAGAATTTTTGTGAATGTATTACTTTCCTGTTACAATACTTGGAACACTTTGTTAATCCTGTGTCCCCTAAACCAGGACATCCTAGTAAAGCAGCAAATGGAATGTAACAATGAATGGAACTGAAAGAATATAGTCCTCCTCTACGGAGAAAAAATACTACAGAGCCGACTGGTAAGTTCTTTACAGAGGAGTATAAACTGAGGAGAGTATTAGAAAGCATTCCTACAGAGCATGACTAGTTTAATTCTTAGGGAAGTAACACATTTTAAAAATTTAATAAATCTTTATTAAGTGATTTTTGATAATATGGGAAGTACATTATGTGTAGTCCTATAAATGAAATACCTATTCCTACTTGTTTTTTAGATTTACAGCCATACAGATTGTTAGCCAAGGTCTAAATGTAAGTGATTAAAATAATGAGCAAACATTTCAGAATGCAGGTAATGCATTGTATCTTGTTCTGTCTCACGGCAACATATGGTCATTTAAGGAGCAAGGCCCAACCAGTATCTATTTAGTTATATATAGCTATATATATATATATATATATATATATATATATACACACACCTATGGTTTGCATTAGGAGGTGCAAAGGAAATACCTCTTTTCTATAAAACCCACATTTTAATGTTTGTAGGGTGACTTAACAGCTTAACATCCCTAAGGATGGTGTCTGGTTTTGTAGGAACATCCAGATTCAGAGTAGAATCTTTCAAAACTCAGCAAATTCCTCTTTGAGTCTGACCTACCTCAGAGGCTTATCATGTGAGAGGATGAATAACTCTTTGACAGTACCATTACTCTTCACTGATAGACAGTCCTCTTGTTCATCATGGTCCCTAGATTTTAGGGACCATGATGAACTTACTCCAAAGTAAGGAGGGATTAATTATCCTTAGCGTCACTATGTTCCTTAGAGGATTAAAAAAATGAAAATCAGCACATTATTTTTCTTACATACAAGATCAGAAGAAATCCTGAGAAAAGGGGTATTCTAATATTGTCTCATTGTGGCTGCCTATTCTATATATGGCACCACTTTATAAACTGCACAAATCTATTCCTGCAACCTACAGATACTCTAAATGACAAAATAAAATTGAGCATGAATATAGAAAACATAATGCATTTATCATGCAGAAATAATTTCCACCTATAAACATATTCTAAATTGAATTAGACAAGGCTAATATCACATTAAAAAAAATAAAGCAGCTAGACATTTAACTCACAGGAAGTAACATGATCAAAGATAAAGTCTAAATGACAAAACAGTCCGTAATTGTCTCCGTAAAATTACTGGCAGTAAGATTTTTATGTCATTATTATCATATTGGTAAAACTTTCTACAGTATAAAAGTATACATGAAACATTTTGTGTTGTAAAAATCCCTGTGGTATGAGTCATAAAAAACCCCAGCAGAAACAGGTGTCTCTATTACCTGACATCTCTACAAGGCTTTGAAATCAGAAACTGATCTGCACAACCATAAGTTTAGCATGCTTTAAAATAAGTAGATTTGTGAGACCATTTTACTTCTAATTAAATACAGCAAAATATTCTTTTGACAGAACATTTTATTCTGAGTCCCTATTTCTATATTTCACCCTAAAAATCACTTTTATAAATTACAAGTGTCACATAGATCAGTGTGAATTAAAAACCAAATCTCAATCTATAATAACAGTCTTGATTTGAATAGGCTGTTTTGCTTTTAAATCAACTGGAAACCCAGACAAAATTCCCTTTAACGTATGCAGTGTGCCTAAGCTGATTTTGGTTTCATTTCAACACAGCAAATAGTACTGGTGACAGGCAATAACATGAAACTCGAGAGATTTTGGCCGTGATTCTTGCAGAATCTGGAGAATTAGTAAGTCTGAAGTATGTGAAACCAGTACAGAAGTGAAGGAATTATCCATGCTAACCATTTCATGCCTAATTATTTACCAAAGTGAAACATTTTTGCTATATTCATAAAACTAAAATCCCAATTCATACAACTGTACTGAACAGGAAGGGTCCCTCTGCTATTAAATGCAGAATGATTAAACATTGGAGACTGGAAATTCTGGTTGATAAAAATGGCTGGTGCCTGTCCCAGAGGAGGTTCTCTCTGGAACACAGACTGATAGCTGGATTAACACACTGAATAAATAAGAATGATGACTTTTTAGATATTACTACTGGCAATTTCTTTGTACTCATTCCTCTGGAATACTCCTGGAATATTGGTTTTTGAGGAGAGGACACAACAAATTAACCCTAAATCCTATGCTTAATTCCACATTTCAACAGGCTCCTTTGCTGCAGTGGGAGTTGCCACTGCAATGAGAAACTGTGTGTGTGAGGGCAGTGTCCCATGGATGTGTGTCTGTACATCTCTTCACACCTAACACTGTGACCTCAGGCTACAAGGAGATTGCTTGACTTTCATATAAAAAAGCATGTTGCATGATAACTGGAAAATTATTTTTGCATTATTTCAGTAGTTGGACCAAATAAAGAGCTGTTGTGATATAATCCCAGAGAAAAATCTCAGGTACTTGCTTTGAGCTGCAGAACACTGTCAAATGAGTAGCATAATCCAGAAATCATCTAGGAAAACTGCATTTTGTCCTTAAAACTTACATTCAAAAATATTGCTTGTAGGTGTTATTTCACATTTTGCACAACAAATATGTTTCATTTATACAAGTGTACATTTTCACTCAGTATTTACACTCTTCATACACACCCATTATTAATGTAACTCTTACTCCCTATTGTAGAATGGATTTTTACCTGTAGCATAAGGTTTATCCAAAAGCAACTGTTTGACTATAATAAATAATGTAAAAATCACATTTTCAAACAATGACCTACATGAATCACTAGTGGTTAGTGACAGAAAACAACATGCTTATAGTTTGCTGTAAGATTTTTCAGTTCTTGGATTGAAGTTTTCTGGCAAAATCTTCACTACCTTTAATCAATTGTGATAACCACTTATTCACCAAAACAAGGTACACATACACAGTTCCGTCAGAATTCCTCAAGTCTTTACCAGCATGGACAAATTGCAATAGAAAATCTTTTAAGGATTTACTGGAAAAGGCAAGTTGTTAGCCTAAGAGTCTGTCCTAAAATGCAACAGTTTAGTTAAAATACATAGGAGAAGCCCTCATGGTGCTCTCTGCACTTGACTGCAGCCAATACTATTAATCCTCTAATGTCATAAATACTGCAGGAAAGACATGCTAATAAAAAAGACAGCACTGACACCATTTATCATGTGTAGGAGTATATAAATAATGCAGAAATCTCTCTTGCTTTTACAAGAAAATCACCTTTACAGTTTTCTGAAGAATTGACTATAATTTCACTGCAAAAATATTTATACTCTGAAAAGTATTTTTAAATAACCACATGACTTTAATTCTCATTGTTATATCTGTCAGCTTTTAATGAAAGACTTATGGATGTGTTATTAGTGTTCCTGCTATCTGTTCTGTTTGTAGGAAGGTTTGATTTAATAATGAAATCTGTTCCATTTGAAAAATGCATTTCAGCCTAGTGTGAGAGCTTTGTAAGCCTGGATTGGTTTGATATGTAAAATGACTTACAGTTGGGAAAAATGGGTTTTCTCCTAATTAAGACACATTACAATGAGATTGTTCAAATCAACTACTGCTAACAAAAATGCCCAAGTTACATATATTTAGAAAAGATTTAGCAAATAGCTGTTCTCTGATACAAGCCTGCTGCAGAGCACTCTGTAGGGAATCCCACTCTGTGGAATTTAAAGGCACTGGTGGAATTTACAGAGTCCATACACCGCATTCCTAAAATGTTGATAAAGACTGAGTTTCAGTTACTTACATCAAATTTTTAAAGGTTGTCAAAATAAATACTGCAAGGTAAAACTCAGAAAAATGCAGCATTGTTTTTACCATAATCTTTATTTTCCAGGTATTTGTAAAATTGAGTTGTTCAGCCCATTTCCTATTATGAAGAAATCCTTTATAATTTTGAGTAATGGATTGTGGCAATACCCATTAAGAAGGAGACAATAAGTATACCGATGGCTTTGGCTCCAAAATCTAAACCCTAAGCCTGTATAACATTGTAGAAGTAGTTTTTATTTATTATATATAAAGTGTTATTCTTCCCTGTGTAAACTGTGCTTTTGCAAGGAGCCCTGTAATCTTCATTGAACATAATTCAGTGATGGAATTCCACAGAGGAACAGGACTGCCTGGATACAATGCATGTAGAACTGAGGAATTTTTATTCTTTTTACTAAACAGAAAATAAAGTATATTTTGCTATAGTTTTACAATTCTTGTGGGAAAATTTTGAAAAAAATCTAAATTTTGTCACAATCCTTGTTTTGCTTATTCTTTTCTTATGGGTAAAATATTCTATTCTGTTATTTAAAGCCATGTTGAAAAGTGAGGTGATTCATGTCTGTACAAGTGTCAGGATTATGTATATTCTGTATATTTAGATATTCATAATGAGTATAACTTTGGAATGAGAATAAAATATGAATTAAATACTTTTCCCAATACAAACTGTACAGATTTTTGAAAGACTTTACAATCCTCACAAAACTTCTAGGGCCCACTTTTGTCTGCGGCAGACACCTTCTGGCACATGCACTGATTATATGAATAGATGCTAGTGAATAAAACATCTCTAGCTAATAGTTCCAAAGATATAATTTATAGCAGCAATGGAACTTGCTGTATGTACTGCTATGGATTATAATTTTCATTGTATGACTTTTTTATTTCAACCACAACTCAACAGGATGGCAAAGGAAAGTGTGAATACACATAAATGTGAGATGTTGTGACTAAGCACAGGAGTGTAACAATGGGAAATTTTTCCTACAAATAATCTCTTTGCATGAAGCTTTAAATGTATTTCCTCCACAGAACTCAAACCATCCCCCTGATGTAATAGTGAAGTGAGTGTCCTCTCTGTGTATGTCCCTTACATCACCATTCCTTATAACTGCTTTGTATGATACACAACTGCACAGAAAGGAGTTTGCTGTGACCCCACCCCTGCAGTTCCCACAAAAGCTACCACTGAAACCCTCAAATGCCTGCCAGAAATCTCAGCACTGAGAATTCTAAGGAATTTGCCAGTATGGTTTTAAAAGAAGCCAAGAGGATCATCAGTTACATATAATGATTACATTTTTGCCTGCTGATATTAATCCATTTTTAAAAAGAAATGGAAACAATATGTGTTTTACTTTTCTCATGCTTGTGACTGCAAATTCCAGTTAAAAAGTGATGATTTAGGTTACAGCTTTTGTACTTCCATTTTCTCCTTCAATTTGTCAAATGCAGTGAGAGCACTAAAAAAAGGAGAGAAGAATAGAGGTGGCAAGGCTTCTAAATATAACCAAGATTGTTTATGTCAATGAGCTCTGCAAAAGGATAGTGTGTTTATGTGACTGTCTCAGTGAGTTGGTTTGCAATGCTCATTTATGCTGTGCATCCCTTATTGTTCATATTTCACAGACCTTTTTTTCCCCAAGGCTCTAAACATACATATCAAAAGTTTAATTATTAACTCAGTTTAGAAATTCAAGTATTGAAGGCGACTGATTCTGTCAAGTCAGTATTTACTATTACAAGAAGGATTGGATTTCATGTCATGCCTCCAGATCTTACATCCAGAATTGTCCACCTACCAAACTGTGATAAGTGTTCATGTGTTTGGATTTAAGTGCTTAGATCCCATGCAAGAGCAATCAGGAAAATTACTAAAAATTTCTCAAGGATAACTCAGATGCTGAACATAAAACCCCCTCACATTTCATGTTACAATTCTCCTCACTACCATTTCTCAGGAATGTTCTGATTCATCCCTGTGGAACACGTTGTGTGCTGCAGTGTAACTTTGTATTTCTGTCATGGTACCAGCAATGTGCCAAACCAGCGATTTCCTCCAGCCCGCGTGTTGCTCGCTCCTAAGCCAAACGTGTCCTGTCTGCTCCCATCCCTGCTGTCTGTCAGAATTATAATTTTTTGTAAGATAAGAAAATCCCACCTTTACCACTGGAGAGCCAGGCTGCTTAGGTCACAAGATTCTCCTGGCTTAATCCTTGCGTATGAATCATGAACTTTCCCTAATAAGTACCGGCATTCTTCAGATGATCAAGCTAGCTTACGAAGGCTTCCAGAGCTTTCCACATTAATTATCACCATGTTTAAAGGATCCAAAGTAGCAGCTAATTGAGAATTATTAAGACTGTAAGTTGTTTATTCTTACTTTTCCTTTGTGTCCTCTACTCCTTACTCTTATTTGGGTTGATATTGTAAATGGCAATAATACAACTCAGTTAAAAGAGAACAACATATGAAAAGGATTATGAAAAATGTAAATTGAACTGAAAATCAGCTATAGGAAAAATTGGAAACAAATTTGCTTGCTCTCTACACTACAATGGGTCAAAAGTAAGCTATACATGACCACAATTTTTGTTCAGAAAAAGCTTTTTTCTCACATTACTTATCAGGAAATTGTAAGATAACCAATCTAATAGTAAGCCTCTACTCTGGAAATAAATGACTTCTGCAACTTTTGCAGAAGCACACAAACTATTGAGAAGTCATAGTAAATACTATGTGATTAAGTAAGTATTCTGTTAGAAATAAATAAGATAGTGACTTTTAAAAGAAAAATAAACTATTTTTTAACTTTTGAAAGTGGAACAGAACATTCATTCTAGATTCAGAGTACAGAAAATTGCTGAAATAAGTCTGGACTTCTAAGTACTTTCAATCTGGAAACTTGATGATCATGGGCACCTCAGGAAAAGATATATATTCTTGCACTAAATTCAGATACTAAGTCTAGTAAAAGCAGAACAATTAAAAGCCTATTATGTTTAGCTACCAAAAATATATTTTTTTATCCCAGGATGAGTGTATCTAAATAAAGATCTAAAGTAAATTCCTCAAACACTATTTTAAGTGTGGCACAGCATGATAGGAAAAAAGTGTATTTTAAATTTGGGAAAAAATAAGAAGATTTGTACTTAACTGGCAGTTAATTAACAACATGCATAGGTGGATCAATTATATATGTATGAATAAAAGGACACACCCAAGTCATAGTCAAAAATCCTTTGGGAACTTCTGTGAAGACAGCAAATATTTTTACAATAGCAGTGATTAAGCCTGAAAATAAAAGGAGAAAGCCCTGAAAGGAACACAGAAGTGAGTCAAAATCATTAGTGGTTGCTCTCATATTTATCATCCAAAGTGAGTCAAAATCGGCAGGCATTACTCTCCTATTTATCACTATATAAACTGTACTGTAAGAATGCAGAGAAGAGGAAATAAAGAAACAAGATTAAAAGAGCAAATCCATCTTTAATATTATTTCCAAAGAAAGAGTATTTGAGAAGAGTACTGAAATTTGAGAAGAGTACTACTAAAGAAGCATTAAATAGAAAGTTCTTCTTTAAGCACTCAAATAAGATCTGAAAAAGAACTAAAACCAGTGGAATAACATTCTAGTTTATGTTTTCCAGACAAATCCTTTGAAATCAAATTCAGATAAATACTGTATGCAGATATTTACAATTTTTAAAAATGCATAAAATATCATAAAAGTTCAGTATAGCCCTTTTTTGAGGCATAATTCAGTGACATACTTGAACAAGTGAGAAGCTGAACATTAGTCTTGCTTCCAAGGACTTGCATAATTCAGCACTCAGGTTCAGGACCTGACTAAGTAATACCTGATTCAATAAATTATTTGAAGACACAGGGTACTGAGCATTGAATTTACTGTTTGCTATGTCTGTAAACAGATAAACAGAATCCTGCTCCAGAATTAAGGTGTCTCTGCAGAAAAAGAAACACTCTCTAGTTCTAGTAACTGTTTTCCTGACAGAATACAGTATACAGAAATCAGACAGAAAATCTAGCATCTGTGGGTAGAGATCTATGCCATCCCTGTCTCAAAACCCCATTATTTGTTAGGGATAAGCTCAAGTAACTTAAGTAAGAGCTACACAGAGATAATCAATGCTAAATTGATCAATGCTAATGAATTTTTTCCAGACTTAGTGAAAAACACTGCAAAGTCTTATAAACACTTCATAGCATCGTGCAAAAATTTAAATCAAAATTTTAGGCTACCACTGTGCTGAATGTTTAGAGGAAAAGTTTAAAGTTCTCCAGAAGCTGTTCTGTTTGATTATTAACTCTTTTTGTCCTGTTCTTCACTACCTCTGAAAATATTTTGGGGTTTTTTTATGGAAGGGAATCTGCAGAAACAGTTTCACAATTCATATTAAAAAAAACTCCAACTCTAAAGCTATGCTTTCAACAAAACACACCATAACATCTTAACCTAATAAAGCACTGCCCTACTTTCGGATTCACAGACTTCCAGAAAGGAATAGAAATATTTTACTTTGGCATGGGGGCAAAATTACTTTCTAAGGGAAAAAAACTTAAAAAGTTACCTTATCTTGGTACTCCTTTCAATCCTAGAAACTGCAGAACCAGACTGTTTTGAGACATGACAATGTACATGATGCAGATCAGTAATGGGAGCCACACTGAATTGCTGCTCTACAATGGCATCAAGTAATCGGAAAGGACGACAAAAGAGAAACATTTCCAATGCTGGTTTTTTCCTTTGGATGAAAGGATGTAGAGTTACAAAAATGAACTAAAATTATAAGGCCAGAGTACAGGCATGGCATGATCCTAAGAAGAATCTGTTTCTATCTTCCATATGCTGTACAAACACAAAAATAATGATGGATCTGAGCAAAAATACTTTCTATTTATGAAAATTATTAATAAAACTATATTGTAATAGCATTAAAAGCAACAATGAAAAAAAGGTAAGTATATAGCAAAAAGCAAGATGGTTTTGAATGCTAGACAATTATACAATTGTTTCCTAAAACTTCTATCAGTTACTACTAAGTGTGTCATTCTTTGTGCCTCATCTTTGCACAGAGAGCTCCATCACTGATCCAGTGCAGATTGTTGATTAATTCTTCATATTCTCTGTGTATGACTATATTAAAGTATAGGAAAGTAAAGATACGCAGGGTTTACACCATCTTTCTTTTCAGTCAGCAGTTACTTCTCTTATTGGTTTTGTTTAATCTCTCAAAGGGACAAGGGAAGGAGAACAATAGATTTTCTCTGAAAAATGCTACTCGTAATATATGATATCTACTTCCAAGTATTAAATTCAATTTAATGTATGCAGTGATCAATAGATATGAACTTCATGGGGCAGTGGGGCAGTAAGGCTACAGCAATTAAACTCTATCATAAGTCACAAGGACTGCTGGTAGCTGTTCTCCTTCTACCCTAAGGGTTTTCTCTTGCTTGATATACCAGTAAATTTACATTATAAACCTGATTTTTTCTTATGCATGTAATATATTTTAATATAAAAGTTCAGCAACGGCAATTGCATCAGTTTAACATTCAACATTTATCTCTTCTTCATGATCTTCATTTATCTACCTTATTTATTATCAGATAATGCATAAGTATATGTATAAGGATCCTATCACATTACATTACTGCTTATGATTTAAAAGCAAATGAGTTAATTTTTTCTTAACAAAGAATGCAGTATGTTATTTTTATGTACCACTAGGAGAAAACTGATAAAGAGGAAATGAAGCAGGGGAACAGAAAAACAAAGTGAGAAATGAAATCCAAGTTTCTAATGCAACGATGTAATGCCAAGAAACTGCTCCAAAGAAAATGAGTAACTGCCAGCTTTTCTACCTGTTGCCAAGAAAATGTTGCTGTGTTCACTGATCCTGTAATTAAACTGAGTGTGTTCTGAAACAACTTCTTCTGAATTGTGCCATCTTCTGTGAAGGGGGAGAAAGCTTCATTCCTATAATACACCAATAGAAAGATGGTTCTTCTCTAAAAAATTAGGTAGAAGAGCAAGCTTGGTTTAATCATGTACACACATTCTTTAAAGAAAAAAAGTAACATTTGGAAAGAGAAATCTTATTGCCTACAGACCTTTGGAGGGAAGCACAGAACTGTAATTTGCATCATTCAAAATACTTATGTGCAGGGCAAAAAGTTTTAATAGCTAGCTTTTAATATCCTACAAAAACAGCAGTCTTGCTGACTTCTGCTGTTTTATCAACATTTTAAAATGTGACTTATTAATTGTATGTCTTATAGCAATTTCTTGCTGGGATTTTTAATAAATTTAAGTTATTGGTATTACCCATGCTGGTCAAGGTATTTGTATACAAGTATGTCAATAAACCAGATCATACCAGTAAAATTCTGTTGCCACATTTTATCTTGTTCAGCCCAGTGTTGGTTAACCAAGATTTCATAAAGGCTGACTATTCTCTTCACCTCTACTATGGTCCTCTGGGATCTTCTGGTAAAGCTTTATTGTACTTTGCACAGCTTTTCTGCATTCCTCATGCTTTTACACCTGATGAGTGAATGAAATGTTGCCTTTTCTCAGCCGAGTCATTCTTTGCTCTGTGGCTCGCTGTGCTAGGCAGGACAATGGCCCTCTCAGACATCTGTCACACAGAAGCACTGAACAGCTGGGACTGGAAGAGACCCCTGGAGATTGTGCAGTCCAATGCCCCTGCTGAAGAAGGTTCACCTAGAGCAGATTGCTAGGATCACATCTTTATTGGATCAAGATATGTCTGGATCAGCTAATAAAAGTGTCAGAAAGCCCTGGCTTCCAAAACAGTTCCCCAGTCCTTTTCCTCACAGACAGTGGTAACAACTGTCTGAACGTGCAGGCTGACAGGTTCACTCTGGAGCAAGAGCTGGGCAGAGCTGGCACCCACACCTGCTGCATTTGCAGGAGAGTTGCTTTGTTTTAATTCTGTGTTGGCTAGTTTAGTTGAGGAGTAACAGATCAGAGTAATTCACCAGACAGAAAACTCTGCTACTAATCTACCTCCAAGACAAATCTCAGAAGCAGAGCCAGGTCACTCTTACTTTCCTGGCTTGCATCAGTCCTACTCTCTCTTACTGATATCAGCATTATCCACTGACTTCAGTGGACATGAATATGCCCAGGTGGTCTATTGCTGATCATTGCTTCTAATCCTTCTAATCAGCTAATCAATTTTTAAGCCAAGCTTAAAAAAGCTTCTAAGCCAAGCTTCTAAGCCAAGCTTTGGACAGTTTAGTGGAGAATGAACAGTTAGCTCCTGGTGCTGATTCATTATTACCTGTTCTTTCTCAAGCTGTCAGCATGGATTCCAAATACATCTCTTCACATTTTCACTGCTGAGCAGTTCCACTTGCAATGGACCAAGAAGCAAGTGGTTTCCCCATTTGATAACATTATGAATACTTTTCAACCACTACTAAATATGCAGCAAGAGTAACACAAATGTGTGGATGTATTTAGACTTGCTGCAAGAAAGGCCAGAAGGTAGATGCACAGTTATATTGCACCTGTTCAAAGGAGACCACGTTCCATAAATACTGGGTTTTCAGCAGCTTCTCCAGTTGCCATCAGGAGAGCTAACAAGGCTGGCTAGCAGGCAGAGCTCAGCTTCTGGGAGCTGCTGCTTGTTGCAGTGCTCTCAGCCTCCCTTTGTGCCTCTGTCCTTGTGCCTGCCCTGCCAGCGGGGCTCAGTGCACACTCGCAGGGATACCTGTGAGAAGGCAGCGTCTTTACAGAGGTGACATCAGCAGCACAAAGCAGCTTGTGTGAGATGTGACACCTCACTGCTCGCACAAGGTTCTTAATCACGGAATTTGGGGGGAAATTAAATCTGGCACACAGCCCTTAATGTTGCCAATGTATGACCTAGATTGCATTTCTGTAAATGGTTTATGAGAATGTTATTTGAGAGATTCTTCTGGATGAAAGCAAATCATTTTTCTTAGTTTATTTTACATTTTTTTAAATTTTTATACTTAAGTGAAAGAGAAACTAGTTGGATTCCTGCATAAAAGTAGTATTTGCAGTTAAGTTACAGGAAAATTCACCTGTTCTTTGTAGTCTGCAATAGTAAAAGACATCTAATTTGATCAAGTGCATTTAAAATGGGTTTGTTTCTTCATTTTTCCTCTTAACCTTATATTGTCTTTAACATGCCTAACTACCCTTTACAACTCCAACAGAATAATGCTGTAGCAGCTTTGTGTTCTGCTGTCTCCTTCCTTTATGACCATCCCCCACAAAATTAAATTTCATGTTATCCTATTATTAACCATTTTTAAATCTTCCACTTTCTTAACAAGTACATTATTAATTCCATTATTAGTATTAAAATATGTTTCTAATATTGCTAATCTTCAAAATAGTTTAAAAATCCACAATCAGTTCATGCCTAAAATCCTTTGCAATAATATTGTCATGTGAAAACTCTTCTTTCTATTCCAATGTACAGAAGCAAAACCTTTACAGCTGCACATGGCTTTAAGTAATAAAAGAAATAACACCTTGAACTTTTTATTTATGACATGTCTGGATAATTCAGTCAAGCTCTGCAACAGGTGAAATTGTCTCTGATACTGAAGGTCACACCAAGCTCTTTTAGAGCCATGAAGACATTAAATCATCTTTTTGTGAGGCAAATTGCATACTTGCCATTATTTTACTGGTCTTATGGGATAAAATTAATTTGCAGGGAGTTTTGGATTTCTTTTTAACATCAATCTACAAACAATAAAAACTAAAGTGGTTTTTCTCTATGGATATTTATTTTATGTATCACTACATGCACCATTTGGAATGTAACAGTAAGAAGTGCTTTTTATGTACTCAAATCTATTAGTTTATGAGAAAAGATTTGACACAGAGTGTATAGGTTAGTTCTGTTGCTTACTTAACTGCACTGATTGCAAAATGCTGAACTGAAACCAGCTCACACAGGATTTGTTTTAATTTCTCTCTGTTGGAAGAAATAAAACAGATAATTCGATCCAAATTCCAATGCTGTGCTCTGAGTTTTACATGCCATCTAAAATGTACTAATAATGCCAAAAAATGAAACACTGAATGTTCTTCTATTTATTCTCCATGTATCATTTTCTCATTTTCGGAATCAGGCTCTGAAGTGCTGGCAATTGAAATAATCTGAACCATGAGCTTTTGAAAGCTATTCCTTAATACAGACCTTGATTACCTTTGTGGGTGGTGTTTCTTTGTACCTACGTGAAAAAAGAAATTTTTTTATGTCCCACCTACAACTCCCTTATTATTACTAAAGCTTCAGATAGAAGGCTGTGTTTTCTCCCTAGATTTCCTGATAAATATGAAAAATTAATTTCATCTGTTTAGAAAGATGAATAGGCTTCAATTATGAGAAAATAATATTGGCACACATTTTTGTTGGTCCTGAGTTGTAAGGGATTAACTATTTCATTTATAAAGATTTCTGGGCTATTACAAGTAAACACTTTGCTCAATGGATTTAGATGACAATTTACTAAGTAAATCTGCAGGCTTGTTCAATTACATTTTAGAATGAATTTAGAGTGAAACAAGGATGAGAAATTCTTTCTGGACAGTGCAAAAGAAAAGGTCTTTCCTTTTTTAGTTCATACCACATATTCATATTTTACACAAGCTTTCTAAAGAGGACTCTGCCAGCATAAAATACTAATTGGAAGACTTTCTCAGTGCTTTCTATCTTTGTAAGAAAACAAGGCAGAAGAAGTAGGACCATTACTATCATGATCTGGGGGAAATGATTTTTTGTAGATACGCCAATAAAATTGTTCATCTAAATCTGCACTGTCTGTACAGTCTGGGGAAAGATGGAAAGCAGAAAAGCTGCCTTCCAGAAGTGACTGCTTCTTCACAGGAAAAGCCTGTAAGGGGCCATTCCCTGGGAACTCAGTCTTCAGGAACTCCAGAGCAACTAGCTGAGACTGAACCGTCTTTCCTTTTTTAGTTCATACCACATATTCATATTTTACACAGGCTTTCTAAAGAGGACTCTGCCAGCATAAAATACTAATTGGAAGACTTTCTCAGTGCTTTCTATCTTTGTAAGAAAACAAGGCAGAAGAAGTAGGACCATTACTATCATGATCTGGGGGAAATGATTTTTTGTAGATACGCCAATAAAATTGTTCATCTAAATCTGCACTGTCTGTACAGTCTGGGGAAAGATGGAAAGCAGAAAAGCTGCCTTCCAGAAGTGGCTGCTTCTTCACAGGAAAAAACCTGTAAGGGGCCATTCCCTGGGAACTGAGTCTTCAGGAACTCCAGAGCAGCTAGCTGAGACTGAACGGCCAATCTTTAAAAAGGTGGAGTGAGAACATTGCTACTGAAGAGATACAAACTTAATCTCTCAGTTGAGCAAGGATAACAATCAGCTTGCAGAAATTAACTGTAAACTGGTCCATCAGAAATGGATGTTTGAATACACACAACACATAGCTCTGAAATTAATACTGGTTTTTGGTGTTTTTTTTTAATTGGCAATTCCCTAGAAACACTCCTACAGTACTGCAGACAGCTGCAAACCAAATGTAAGCCTGTAGGCAGTAGGCCAATTTGTATGGTGTAGCACATCATGCAGCACTGAAGACTTTCACATCAACAACATTGCTACTAGAGAAACTTTTTTGTAAGCATAATGGTAGCAAAAAATTATTTTAAACTAACTCTAACTCTTTAAATTTGCAGCTAAATGCAGGTTTCATCTGAATGTGTGTAGGGTAGTGTCATTTCACCTCCCTCCAAAAGTCACATGAAAGACGCATCTTGACTTACCAAAAAAATTGCTGAGAAGTTTAGAATTACATTCTTGACAAGTGAGAAATGTTCCTTAACCTTACCTTTTAAACTTTTTCATTAGGAAAATACATAAGATACATAACATGCCACAGAACAACTGTGATTTTAAATCCACACATCCATATAAATAAATGCAACCAAAATTATTGGTAACAGTAAGACCATGTTTTCACAGTGCAAAGCTTGTGCCCAGAAGTTTAGAAATCTCATATTAATACTGTAAAACATTCAAATGGCACTACTCATCTTTACAGCCACATTCTTAGTCTGTTTTGCACTGCTGCCTTCAAACTCTGCATGGTCTTAAAGAGCAATTTTCATTATCTAAGTTCCTCTAAGAATGGCACTTCCTTTCTAGTGCTTTGGCACTTTAGGGCTACTGTTGTTTGGCTTTAAATCACAAAGCTAAGAGTGTCTCAAATATTCTATGCCATTGTTTTATCAATAAATATTATCAAAGTCTATATGCCAGGAATCCAGCAAATCTGCTTTTAAGCACCAATATATCTCTGAAGCCTTAGGTGTTATTTCTGAAAATTATATGCCTGCATGACAATAACACTAGTTTAGGATGCACCACCTTCTGAAGGTAGCCCCAGTACGATTCAAGAAAACAATTGTGATTACTGATGTATACACACTAAAAGGTACCCAGCTATTCTAACCTTCTCCAGCTGTATCCATTTAAACAAGTTCCTTTTCAGCTTTCAGACAACACAGCCACTTCCCTCTTGATATTACCTCCCTGCTTTTGTGAACTTCTGACACTTTTCTTCCTGTTCTATTTTCCTCTCAACAAAAGCAGCTCCTTCACTCTGTTTAATTAAAGGAGAATGCTGTGACTAACACAGTGCATGAGCTTAACAACATCCTCAGAAACATCAATTTCAATAACTCTTATATGTTAATT